GTAGACTCATAACGTTCAGTAAAAAATTGCAATAATTTTATGCTGAATAAAATATTTAGAATTTGAATATACGGTGAAAGGATAACGGTATTAAATCCTCAAGTTACTTATAAGTATTTAAATATATTTGAATAAGATAAATACTAATACATAACTCTTTTATTGTGAAAGAATGTCGGTTAAAGCAGTATTTTTATTTTCGCGCCCATCTCGTATCAGTTACAGCTTGTTCGTAACGCGACGCTCGCCGCAAGTTGTGGACGTGCCAATATAACATTAAGTAATCTAGAATTGAAAGCTTATCTCATCATTTATTATATCATTATACTTATATACTTATAACTTTATTGTGTCATTTTTACATATAATAAAGATGCAAGTCATGGTTCTTTTTACCCTTTTTTAATATATTTGGGATATATATTAAAAGAAAAAAATTGGAAAGACAATCAATTATTTAATTATTTAAACATATGCTATAGTAGCCTAATGGTGAAGGAATTGTTGAGAAAACCAAGTGATACGAGTCCAAACTCCAGGTCTCACACCTCTGGCATTCGCCTTGCAGTGAAGGAAACATCATGAAGAAACCTGCATGTCTGAGAGGATCTATGTAGTTTTCAAAATACATGTAAAGTCCTCACTTGCCCATCGTGGTGAAGTAAGGCCTGATCCCCCTCACATTGAAATGAAGACCGTGTCCAGCAATTGGACGTTAAATAAAAAAGACAGAATAAAAAATTATATATATATATATATATATATATATATATATATATATATATATATATATATATATATGTGTGTATATATATATATATATAAATATTATTTTTTAATTTTTTTTAATATATACATATACACACAAAAAAATCGGTCACAATAAATTATTAGAAGCCTTTGTTGGAGTATTTAAGAAAAACAACGTAACTCAAGAGTCTTATCTAATCTAACATCTATACTGGTCAAGCTACTTGCATCAGCTTTTAGTATAATCTTAAAAGCTATCTTAACCTTTCCTTTATAAGGATACAAGATGAAGATACGGGAACAAGTTTTGAAAAACAAAAATCGATTTAACTTTATCGATATTTTCTTCCTGAAATACATTTTATTTCATACTAATATCTTATTGTACAATTACTCACGTATACATCATGATACGCGAATAAAGGCAGTGGTAACCCAGTGAAAATGCATGTGTTTGGGAAACCAAGTTAAGTGGGTTCAAATACCGAGTCTCACCTCTGATATTTTCTGAGAAATATGTCTGAGAAACCCTAGCAAGTTTTGTTAGACGTGTAAAGTTCGCTACAGGCCAACTCGTACTTGGCTAACGTGGTGGAATATGGCCTGATCTCCCTCATATTAAAACGAGACCCGTGCCTAGCAGTGGGGGATTAAAGAGGGCTCAATATAACACGATAGGATAATGAGATGAGACGCAAGGCAGACAATTTTATGAATATGGGATGTCCATACATAACACTTCGGCTAGCGTCGGACACAAGCCCCGGGCATTTCTTTAGTAACTTGTTTTAATTTGATTGGAAATGATCACTATTTATACATTTGAACTTCAACTCACCACCACCGCGGACACGCCGGCGAGTCAGTTAACAATAGATTTCTTAGAATTTTAATTAATTTCTTAGAAATTTACATGGAGGTGTTATACATTTTTTAAATTCAATACGACGACGACGAAACTCAACATTTTTTTCACCAGTGCTAAAACAATACCTACTTAGGAAAGTTAGTTTCTATTTAAACTCCATTTAAACGGTATGTCGCTAACTTACATTTGATGAAAATCAAAAACATTATTAACTTGCCTTTTCAATAGTGAAATGTGATGACGTAAAACTCCATGCACAGAGACTTTACATCTTATACTGACATTGGTTCTATCACGATTTTCTTCCCTTCGTCACGAGTCCTACATAAAATTCATTTCCTCCTACCACTTTAGAATTTAGTATATTTTAGTATAAGGCAGTGGTAGCCTAGTAGTAACGCGCTCGCTTGGGAAACCGAGTGAAGCGGGTTCATATCCCGGTTCTCGCGCTTCTGATATTTTCATGTGCGGATCATTTCTAACATGATTACCAATTGCCTAGCGGTGAAGGAAAACATCGTGAGGAAACCTGCGTGTCTGAAAGAACCTTGCAAGTTTTCGAAAGACATGTGAAGTCCGCCAACCCGCACTTGGCCAGCGTGGTGGACTATGGCCTGATCACCCTCATATTGAAGGGAGGCCCGTGCCCAGCAGTGGGACATTAAAAAAAAGGGCTGATTAAAAAAAATATTTTAGCATTATACATCTATCTATAGTTAACACGCAGTCTACAATCCGTCAGCAAAAGCTATTCTGTACATATAATTATGTCATGAGATATTGACGCCGGTTAACTTAAAAAGACGAAATAATGATGTATGATGTGAACGTAATCAATCTAATATCTAAGTATATCGAAAGATTACAAATTACCAGCACTTTTAAAAGAAGAGTATCAATTTAGATTCTATAATATTCTTACCAAATTTTACTCTCATTGTTTCCAAAAAGAAGTATAACTTGATAAAAAAAACGAAAATCGGTTTACAATTGTATCTATAGCGTAACGTAAACAAACACAAAAAATATAGCCAAATTGAGTAGGTACCTTTTTAAATCGAACAATAAAATAAACTAGTTTTTTTTTTTATTCCAGATTCTCCATTTCGCTTTCACTACATTATAACCATCCTCGTCCTATTAATCAAAAGCACTAAGACATAAAAATACGAGACAACTTTACCAGTAGGTACTACACAGTTACATATCTTATACATTGTTTGACAACACCAACTACCAATAACTAAAATCGTGACTTACATTGCTTTAGTTCGTGACAGTTTCGATGTTTGAATCGTGGTACTTGAATGTGACGGAAGCAATTACAGATCCTAGATATCTTTATACACTAGTGTACATTTCTAAATAGCGACCCGAACTCAGTTTCGAGCAAGTTCGAAACACCAAGACTGTTTACTATAATATGTACTCTAAATAAAATAGAGTTCGGAAGCGCTTAAAAATCCCGTGACAATTCAGTTAAAAGACACAATACAAATATAAATAAAATAAATAAATAGATATGTCGGGACATTAACATACAGCACCATCTAGTTCCATGGTAAGCTACGAAGCTTGTGTTATGGATACCAGATAGTTGATACACTACACATATATAACTTAGCTGTACCCGCGGTTTCTCCTGCGTTTATACGTCCGATCGCTACCTTTCACAGGATCACCCGCTGGGACAGGGACAACAGTTGAAGACATACAATTTACAAACACACAGCTATATAGACTGCATAATACTATGTTCCTTTGTCGACTTGTTCTCATCTTTTTAATTCCCTTTTTACGCAGTCGGGTTTTTCTGATTTTTGTAAATTGTGAACCGTGATAAATAACTAATAAAGTATAAACAGCGCCATCTATGAAGACACACTACAAAATTATTATTAAATTTTTCAATGTTTCAATAATCAGCAAAGTTTGGTAAATTGAATTTAGGAACATCATTATTCTTAACTTAGAATTTTTTTTTAATATCAGACTATAATTTATTGAGATTTATTATTATAGACCTGTCTATTTCCTTTATTTTAAAATATTTATATCAATTACAACTCGATACATATAACGCCATCTATTAATTAACCTTTAATTAAACTACGTTTTTCTAGACTATTCCTAATGAGACCCGTGTACAGACAAAATTATGACTTCTCAATGTAACTTAATTTTGCAATTCCCACAAAAAGCAATGCATATGTTAAATGTAAATACACAAACGTATGCTTATTTTTGTGTACACAAAATAATAATATACTAACCGTGGGAACCATGAAATATCCCATTATATGATATCCTTGTGGAGCATTGTCCATTACAATCTATACAACAGTGTCTACAGTTCATGATGTCATGAACATGTATCCATGGTACCTATTGATCCATTGGTTGTATAAAAGTCATTGAAACCAAGGTTACATAAGCCAGTAGCTAGTGCCATATAAAATGTTTTTTTTTACTTGTTCTTTCTTTTAAAGTTTAAATAAAGACTAAAAAGTCACTCTCACTTCGCACGGGTGCGTTAATAGCTGTTTCAAGGTGTGGGACTTCACGTCTGTAAATCTATCTGTAAATTGAATTTCATTCAAAAATGTTCAGCCGTTTCAATGTTAAGACAAACAAACATACACAAGCTTTCGCAATCATAATAGTAGTAAGATACCAATTTTCGATAACTTCGCATTAGTGAAGCAAACACATTTTCTTAGAGATATTTTTATTACAAGTACCTAAATGAGTTTTTTTTTCGACTTCTCTGTTCCCGTTTTATGATAATAAATAAAAAAAATAAAGAATAAAAATAGTTTATATCACATTTCTAACCTGTTATAGTCAGTTGAGATGCAGGCTTCTATCAAAACGATACGTTTGGCTGTTTGTAGTGACCTTACTTGCTGTGCCAGCGGTCGCAGGTTCGATTTGTGTGATGAGCACGAATGTTTGTACTCCAGTCGTGGGTGTTTATATTTATAATATGTATGTATTTAAAAAGTTATATATGTGTAGTGTATCAACTATTTGGTATCAATAACACAAGCCTCGTAGCTTACCATGAAACTAGATAGTGCTGTGTGTTAATGTTCCAACATATTTATTTATATTTAATAATTATTTATTATCGCACGGAATTTGGAAAACGATTAAATTTCACAATTAATAAAATTCAAATGATTTTACTTTTACCTTTGTTCTTTATTATCTTTTCATTTGAGAATGATCATTTACTAAAAATATATGTTACCTACGTAATGTTCGACAAATTAATAAAATAAAAAAAATGGAAGGATTGAAAAAAGTAAAAATAACGTTAGGTTTTTTTATTAAATATAACATTTATTTGTATCTTAATAATATGTACATATAACAATTAAGCGACATACGTCTGTACAAAATGTCTGAGCTCTTTTATTAATCTGTCCTCTGAAGTCACAACATTCTCAAAAATACTTTTACTATTTAAAATCACCGCGTTATTTGAAACAACAGCATGATGTACCAATTTTATGCTCTCCGAATGTTTGCAGTACGCGCTACAGTGCGATATAACATTCAAAATTTGTTTCTTGGTCAAAAACTTGACAGACCTTTTAGTTATTAAATTATATAATTTAATGTATGAAACAATATCGTCTGTCTCCAAATCATTTGTATGAGGTAATAAATCATATATAGCGCTCAAAATTTCATATTCGACGTCGCTTTTGATTCTGAACTCTGCCAACCCATCCGAGTTACCGTTAAAGACGTATTTAGCACAATTTTTAGATAGCACATTAAAACCTAAGCTGTAGATCATACTTTCAATCAAATGGAACATTTCCTTCACTATTGCTTTATCGCTAATATTCCTACCAACCCAATGCAGCCAGGACATGTACCCGTAACCCTCGACCAATATCTCGAAACCCCTAGGAATAGCGACAAGCGAATTAAGAGCTCTCAATATTGATACTTTCGTCTTTTTATCACTCAGCGATGTTGTATAGAAATCCATCACCATTTTAAGACACATGGTCTTAAATATGACTGTTAAATCTGTCATGGTTTTTGTGCCATCTTTTATTATATCGAGTATCCAAAGTCGTCTTTCCGTACACTCTACATCGCTATCGTGGAACAAACTGAGGAAGTCAGGAACGACTGTTAGATCGACAAATTGTTTCGCTATTAGATAATTGTTTACTGGTTTGTATAAAGGCTCGGAGGGGGACGTTGACACCATCAGAGCTTTGGCTAAGTACAAAGCTCCGATTGCGGGTAGTTTTGGATTTCTGATGCCTTTAAGGTCACCGTCATTTGATTGAGCATTGATGGCGGTTGATAAACTCTGTCGCAGAGTGGTGATGAAGTCGTTAAGTAGCAGCTTGTCGTTTTTGTGTCTCCTGAAAAATTAAAGTTTTTTTAATTAGTTAACTTTTTCTGACAATATGAAACTATTAGGATTAGTAAGTTACATATAATTTAGCTTAAATTATTAGTCATTATGATACCCCCGGCTCGTTCCTCAGTACTTTACAGTTTTTTCACTTTCAGATCTATCTATCTATCTATATATCTAAGTCAAAGAAATCTATAGAAAAAACATTCCATGCTGCGTGAGAAAATAAAAAAAAACAAACAAACAAACATCCTTTTCGTGTTAATTTAATATTAATGATTTTTCGTAATAAGAAAAATGTATCTAAATACTCACGTTTCAGTTTCCAACAGTAGACAGAACCTGTGCAGAACGTGGTAAGCGGCGGCGCGCATCAAAGGACAGTTTGAGCTGAGCCCCATTACAGAAACTGACAACAAACCAGATCTTAGCAGTTTAAAACATGATGCTATGGATCCTGGCGCCAAGAGATGACCTAAAAGTGGAAATAAAAATGCGGGATCATAAATGCCTTCATCACTGTCTAAATGAGATGTAGAAACGACGTCCATTTCTCTTATATCATTTAAGATTTGGTTATATTCATCTCTAATAACCAAACTCTGGATAGCATCTTCAGTTTCCTTTGTAGGCTTAATTTTATGATCACGTATTGTTTTTTCTATAAAATTTTTAATTGATATTCTGTTTATAGATGGTGTCTCGTAATAGTAATCTAATTTTTGGTTAACAGGGAAATGTGTTACAGTTCTCTCAATGACTTCCTTGTCGAATAAGTTCATAACTTGGTTGGGCGTTGGGTGACTCCAAAGTGTTGAGGTTCTATTCTTACGTACAGAATAATGGTTAGCCGCAGAATCTCCCCAAATGTATGGCTTATATTCATTTACTGGCAAGTCATTAATTTCGTAAAACTGGATAATTGTCAAGATTAGTCTATCACAAGGACTTCTAGTCGCACGATATGCGCTCAAATATACCGGTATTTGCTGCGTTTTCATTACCGATTTATTTGTAGATATAAGTACGAAAAGAAATTCTAGGAGACGTGATTTTATATCTGGGCTGTGATGACTGAGCATTACGTTTAAGAACTCCGAATGGGATGTAACCATATCAAATAATGTAACTATATCTTCATGACCTTCTTGATAATAGAGTTTGATGAGGCATGACAGCAAGAATAACAGTTTTGGACCAGTCGAATTCTCTTCATCAGCTGTCCTAATTTTCAATGAATCTTTTAAAACCGATTTGCAGAAGCCTTGCCAAATTGCAGTTTCTGTTATCTTTTTAAAATCTTCCTTCTGATCAATGTGAAAACATGCTGTTGTTTTAATTATACGTGTAACTTTATGAATATTGCATACTAAATTTTCTATGATTATTGGATCCTTGTTCTCTTTTATGGCTAATGACATGATATTTAACATGGACAGAAAATAATTTATCAAATGGTCCTTCTTAGAAGAGTTATTAGGTAGACATAGTTTTAGAAACACAACTTGCACTAAATCTATGTGACTTGATTGTACTGTTTCAAATTTGTGTATTTTAGAGAAGAACTTTTGACAATCCTGAAGATCCATACATTCAATTAAAACCTTTTTGATTATATTACTGGAATTTATATAAACTTGACCAGCTTTATGAGGCTTCTCCAAAAATTTATTTATATTGGATTTGTACTCGTCGTAAATTAGTATTAATATCTCCTTATTGTCAACAAAAAATTGACTGTGATTTAGCAAAGCATTACTCAATGGCAATGTTATTTCCCTTTGGCTTAGTATTTCGGGTCTGTTGATTTCGTCTTTAAAAATTTTACAGAATTTGTTATTATATTTCAATAGTGTTGCAGCTAAATATGATGTGGTTTTTCTAACACTATTTGCTTGAAAGAACTTCTTAAAATCATCGTCATCTAATAGAATAACTTGGTGGGGTTTGTTTTCAAAATATTCTATTAATGACTCTTCAAGTTCAGTTAAATTGGGTGTCACTTCTTTAAGAGATAACAGTGCAGTGTACAAGCTCATACACTTTTTTATTATGTCATTTGATAACTCATTTGAAATCGAGCGTGAATATTTGCGTAATAATACTTGTAATATCTTCAATATAACACTGGGCTCTTTATCATCTCTAATACAGGCGTTTGTGTCAACAGAAAATATATGATCTAAAACTTGCAGATCATTTTCCTTAGACAAGCCTAAAGTTTCTAAAACTTTGATTGTAAGATCGCTGCTAACATTTTTTCTCTTTTTTATTTTTATAAATACTTTTAGTATTTCATTAAACGTTTTTTGTTGATATGATTTCAATATGCAATGCTTTTTATCAAGATAGTTAACAATATCTTTATTTTGTTGTATAATTTGAAGAAGTAGCTCTGTCACAAGAGTATTCGATGCATTTTTATCCAAATCAATAGGCTGGAATAGTTTAAGGTAGTGGGCATTTTTGAATAAATTCAGTATGATATTTCTACAAATATTAACCAAGTGAAATTGTTTTCCCAACACAATGATAGAGTCGAAATAAACAGATAATTTCTTTTGTTGTTCCACAGACATTTGGTTCATATTTGCCAATCTTACTGCACAAAACATTAGATACTTTGACCAAATAAACAAATCAGAACTATTAATGGGTGTTGTATGATCTATTTCATATGATGTTCCCATTATATTCAAATCCGCTTTATCTGTATATTCATTTAATATGGAGAAAATATTAGTCAACAATATATCTTCATTTTCAATTATAGATTTGGATATATTTTTAAGAGTTTCATCTGCACTTGTACCTTCTGGAAAGGTAACAGGTTTCACTGTCCATTCAGCAACGTAACTACGAATGTCCAACTTTGAATCGCCTATTAAAACTTCTGTTAGCTCTGGTGAATAATTGCAATGGAGCAAATTAGCTACATATAAACATAAAAACGATTTCAAATTCTTTTTAGCTTCTTTATTATTTTGGATGTATTGCATGCATCCAACAATAAATGGTGAAGGAATTTTGTTTTCCAAAAATATACTATCTTCTGTATTTTTACCATGCATTAGATCATTAAACAGGTTATCCAAGCTCATTTTGCTATTTTCATCTGATATCTCGAAATTCACAACTTGGTCCCTAACATATTCTGTTAGTTGGTTTCTATTTGACAGTGTATGTTCTATAATGTCCCCCACCAATGATATTGGATTAACTTTAGTATTTCTTAATGTGTACAGCATCAAATGTATCTCGTCTTCATCACCTTCAAATATTTCGGTGTTTTTGAAAAATATATACAATGTATCTTTAGCTTCAATCCATGTATCATTACTGGCAGTGTATACTTCTAACATAATTAGGAATAATTCTCTGAACATTGGATTTTGTAATGTTAAAGCTGAGCTGTCTAACAACAGCCACAATGACACCACTTTAAATTTCAAAAGGGATATATTTCCAGTTGATAGGGACTTAGAAAATTCGAGAATTTTTTTCATGTCTATGGTACCTTCAAGAACTTCAAAGGAAGTTGGGTAAGTATAACTATACAAAAGAAGCAAATCCAACAAAACTAAAAGTGAATCTGCTTTTTCTGGTGTTGGCAATCTGAAATCTTGTAAAGAATTTGCTTCTGTTTTATCTATTGTGTCATTTATTAATGACACAATAATATTTGGTGCTGGCATATGTTTAGGAAGAAAGTTATCCAATTTATTCCTTACTTCAGAAAACTTAATATCTGTATCTTCTGTTTCCAGAATTTTCATATATTTCTTAAGAGTTTGTAGCATTTTTACTAACACTTTTACACAATATAGAGAAATAGTGTGATCTTTTCCTATTACAGAATTAATAAGTTTCAATATTGGCACAGGCAAAGTCATGAAACGTATGAAATTTGCTGTTTGCAAAGGACTCAGATAAGTTAACCTAGGAAACATTTTTTCAGGCTTTAGAGTATCTAAAAGTTTTATTACAAATCTCACTGTCTTCTCCCAAATTGTTGAATGTTGCGGTTGGAAATTTTGTTCAATTATATTGATGATCGCTCTGTGCAGATCTGGACATTTGTATATAATTTGGAGGACAACCTCACATTGATTTTCATCCTCCCATGGCCTTTTTAATGATTGCAAAGCTTTATACAAATTTTGATTCTTGTTCGCATCACTCGTTCCCAAAGAATTATCTACAAAGTAAAGTCCAAGCTTATGTGATGTGAATAATGTTAAAATAATATCTGATAGTAATACGATTATTTCTTCTTGAGACTCTGTTTTGCGTTCATTCTCTGGTGGGCCTTTCCACATAAAAATTCTAAATATATTATGTAACACTTGATGGTTGAATGTTTTTAATTTCAATGTTTTAGAAATTAAAATATTATCAATAACATTCTTTTTGAGAATATTCAAAAACATCAAAACAGCGTCAGGTTCGTCTTGGACTAATCCAGGAATGACCAATGATAAGAGGCCTTGTTTTTCTAGCAACGCTTTTATAAGTGGCAAATGGCCATCTACGAGAAAAGATGTCATGAAATGGACAAATGCAGTTCTTACATTATCTTTTTCTTTATAATTAGGTTTTTCAACCACATGCTGTAAATTTTTGGGGGTCAAAGGAAGTTGATTTAGAATTTCAACACCCAAGTCCGAGTTTAATGTCACCATGGATGTAAGGAGGTTTAAAATAATTTTCCTGTGACGAGGTCCCGAGTTTTCACTGATCATAATTTCAACAGTTGGTATAAAAGTATTTAAAAAATATCGACATGCCTCTTCAGTTATAGTGATCATGTGTGGCAAGTCAGACTGAACTTTTAATATAATTAAATGAAACAAGTGGAAGGTAGGAGTGGCCAGCGATAAATTCTTTTTGTTATCTGGTGATATTTGACGTAATATTTCATGAGAATTTCCACCAACTTTTAAATAGGCCAGCATATAATCCGCGTCAGAGTCTGGATTAAGACATACTTGTAGAAATTGTGTTAATGCTGCAACACAAAAACAATAATGTAGTATAGATTTATTTAATCACCAAAATAAAAATACAGTATTTAAAACATTTACATTCATATATTTTTAAGTATGAAAGTATGCTTAAACATAAATAACTTGAATAAAATGAGAAACTGACCCATTGTTTGTCCTTGCTTCCCTTGTAATTCTTTTCTAAAATGTTTTATGTCAAATAAACGAGGTTTATTTGGTTTTAATTTCTCTAATTTATTGTCGTCTGCATATTGAGGTTGTCCTTCTTCAGTATCAGTTAGAGCGGGTTCTTCTGAATTATCATCATTTTTACTCTTCTTTGCAACGACTTTGGAATCATCATCATATTTTCTTTTGCCCATAGTCTTTTTCTGTGAACTAACTTATTAAATTCAATTTACTAATAATTCATCACTAAATTAAACACAAGTCACAAGTGCACGTGTATTTGTTGTGACTTGTGACAGCTTTGAAGTTTGACTTTGACTTACAGTAATGTTTCTCTATGGGTTTGAGGCTTGACAATTGACCATGGACTTATTAAGTTTGTTTAATAAGTCCATGCAATTGACATCATGATGACAAATAAAACTTGACATTTATATCTCTCCAAATACAGAATAATAATAATTAATACTATAGATGAACACAACGTCCATAGAAAAAAATACAGTTTATTATTTTATTTTGTTTATATGTATTAAAATTATAAATACTCCCTGTTTTCCAATTACAGAGCATAATGCCGTACTTTGGGCGCACAATGCCGAAGTGTGCTAATACTTAATTGGAACGTCAATTAGTTGTCAAGTGCACCAGCAGAGGGCACTAGGTTCAGTGTTGAAAGAATAAAATATTACTAATATGTTTATAATATATAATAATACATAATATCGTCGTTATTATAAATTATATAATAAACTGGCGACTCACCCTCGCTTCTCTCGGGTTCGTCCCTAGCTTGCTTCCCAATACAAACTTTCATCCCAATTTTCACTCTCTTAAGGGATGATTTCCGGGATAAAAACTATCCTATATCCTTCCCAGGGTCTCAAATTATCTTCTTAGAAAATTTGATCTAAATCGGTTCAGTAGATCCAGAGATTACCAACTACAACGTCACAAACTCACAAACTTTACCTCTTCATAATATTAGTATAGATATATAATAATATATAACTAATTAATATATAATTATATAAATACAATATAAACAAATATTACTAACGATAATGTAAATAAAATTATGATCAATGCCACCTTGGAAAAAAAAACACTTCTCATATTTTCTGTTATTGAGTTTGTATCCTTGCGCGCATCACGCCAAAACAATACTTTTCAAAATACTCGATTGAGCGCAGCGTTGCTGTAGTGGGCACATCCGAAGTTAGCATTATGCCACATAATGCGCTTTAGTGCTATAATTGGAAAACAGGGACTATTTGATGAATATCAATATATTATTATTAACTAACCTTAGTATATATATATATGTATAGTATATATATAAAAATCGATGTGTGAAGTTTGGCAGTCTATCGGAAGTTTGAACGCGGGCGACGCCGCAGGTTCTGCTAATTTGGTTATAAGTTCATTGGGCTGGTATAAACTAAATATTAGAAAGTTTAATAGGCTTAAATATAATCTAAAAAGAACTGAAATAATAACAATACTTAAATTTAGTATCAAAATTTTAATAATCATATGTTATACATACACTTAAAACAACCCTCATAGGAATATTTTCTTTGCTAACTGAATTAGCTAGATAAAAACATTTTGTCGTAATAATAAAATTAATTTTTAAAATAGTCCCATAAAATATTATACAGAAATTCAAATTTTTTTTGTTAGTAGCACACAAGATGAAAGTCATATTAAAAAAAACGTTTTTATATGTGAATAACATTAGCAAAATGGTGCCTCAGTAGATAACTAAGGATCAGTTGCGTTAAAATTCTTCATTGAATTTCAATATTCTTCATATCTTTAGATAGATATATAAAAAATGAATATTTTTTTAAATAAAACTATGTCTATTTATAGATTAAATTTAAAAGGCTAAGTTTTAGTTAAAATTTGAATTTCTGTGCATACTTTTTGGATCAAGTATACTTAAACTTAAACAAATTAAACTTATTAAGTATCGAACTAAAAAACAATTTGTAGTTAAAATTTAAACGATGGGCAAAAATACGTATATGTATTTATGAGCTCGCGTAAAAGTCTATAAATTTTTTCCACATCTTAACAATTTTTTTTAATATTAATATCAATTTAACATCACAGTTACAGTTTACATTAAATGTTTAACATAAAATAATAAACCTTACTAGAATTAAGGAAATAATCAATTTTTTTTCAAAATAAATTTCAATATTCATAAAATGACAAAAAAAATAAGAGAGCTTAATAGAATATCCAACATAAATTCTTTGAACCAAACATAAATGCAATAAATTGAAAAAGAAATAAAAAATAAAAAAGTACACTTAAATGAAGAAAAAATGCTTAACACAATTATTTTTTGGTTTTTATAATGTTTTCAAAGTCAGGTTCAATGGCGCGTATCCTTTCCAATAACACATTAGGCAAATAATCTTTCGTATCTGAAAAAAAAAGAAAAAAATATACACAGATTAAAAAAATATAGAAATTTTAATTCTTTTTTCGCTTCAACATAATTTTCACAATATTTTTTTCTATTTTATATTAACAAGAAGAAAATAATAATATCAATCAGACTTGAAAACAATATAATGACAATTATTTCACACTTAGTAGTTTATTATGCATTGGCGACAATGCAAGTACCACAAGCATTAACGAGATTAACTAAAAAATGTTTCTTTTTTGAGAAATATTGTGTTTTTTTTAGATAGTCGTAGTCTCTTCCGTGACCATGATTGCTGTAGAGCATTCGAAACATCGGGAACCAAAAACCAAAATATATCCGAAAAGAAAATTATTTTAAAAGACACCTATGTATATTATAGGTACATTAAAAAAGCAAAAACTTATCTAAATACAAAATTTGATCCAAATCGTTAGAGCCGTTTTATAGATACATGAAATAAATTTATGAATATGTAAAGAAATAAGATCTCTTTAATATGTTACTATTCTAAATTCTTTATATTAAATTTGAAAGTAAAATTAAAGTTCTATTACAGTTCCTAAAAATCCCGACTTATAGTCTTATATAATAAATAATATATAAAAAATAATATATAAGAATTGATCATTTAATATTATAAGACGTTTATTCATGGTATATGTTACATGTTTACGACTTCTACAATTATCATCGTTTATATCGGTTTTTGCTATAAATGTACAAAAAAATGAATAAATAAATTAAAAAAAAATAACTTTTATTTTATAGCATCGTCTCATTTTTAAACATTCGTGTGACTGGCAACAAAATTCATTGAAAATGGGACTTCACTTTTACAAGATAAAACTGTATGTAGGCTACGATATATATCTTCGTTATTATTTCTTATTTATCAAATATATAATGAAAAAGGCTAAGAAAAGTGTCTCGATTATAAGATTATTAGTGATTATTTAACTATTTTACGTGATAGCTATAATAAATAATAGAAGGTTTTTGGTTTGTGATATTTTTTGTGACAATCGGTGTTATTTTGGAAATTAATAAAACTGGAGTAAATGTGAGTATATGATGTGTTTAATTTTTTTTCTTTTGATATTCTAATCTAATGTATTCAATACTAGCGACAAATTCTCGCCTAGCTCGAGTGCATCGCTATGTACGTAACAGAAGTCTAGATGTTAGTCCAGGTCATAGCCTAACAAAAGAGGAAGAAGAGTAACAAACATATATTTTTTATTTGTATGTATGTATGTATTGAGCAGTTTTTAACCTCTCACTGCTGAGGGTAGGCCTCCCTTCAATACGAGGGGGATCAGGCCATAGTCCACCGCACTGGTCAAGTGCGGGCGGACTGAGCATTTCTCTCGAAAACTTGCTAGGTTCTCTCAGACATGCAGGTTTCCTCACGATGTTTTCTTTCACCGTAAGACAAGTGGTAATCATGTTAGAAATGATTCGCACATGAAAATATCAGAGGTGCGAGACCCAGGATTTGAAGCCGGTTCACTCGGTTTCACTGGGCTATTACTGCTTTATTTCCTTTATTTCTTTTTATTTATATATATATATATAAGTAACTGTCCCAATCGTAGCATGATTTTAGGTATTTCGTCCTCGTAAAATAGGCTATAAAATACAAGACAAAATACGAAATATTACTATAGATACTCGTATGTAATGTATCACCACTTACCATCGAAATAAACGATCTCGCATTTGTTTCGATATTCCGGGTCTTTCAGAAGAGTTTCAAGCGTGCTGCAGAAATCGTCAACTACTTCCTTCGGGTCCACATTCTTCAATACTATTTGAATAAAAAGAAAACAACTTCTACTTTACTATACACGAAGCACTATCACATCTATACATATAGTAAAATTGCAAGCCGAATCTGTACATTAAATATGTTTTGGAAATTCTTATTGAAAAATTTTTTTTATCTATACAGAGGCCGAATCTATAGTTTTAAGAATTTTTTCTGTCTGTCTGTCTGTTACCGCATGACAGAAAAACTACTGGATGGATTTTGATGAAATTTGGTATGGTTATAGCTGGTTATCCGGGTCAACATATAGGATACACTTTACTGCGGGAATATATCATTTCAGGAACCTTAGTGGCATTGTCAATCACTGCTATTATTTACCAACGATGCCATGCGCAATGAAATTATTATATGTACGAGTATACTAACATGTAAAATCTAAGAATTTGGTTGTGGTCATATGAACGCGGGCGGAGCCGCGGGCAATGCTAGTTTAGTCTATAAGAAAACGCTATCGACACACATACATACTTTTATATGGCATTCGGGAAACGACTGTTAGGGTTGAAGGATATTCATATCTTATTTGACGACATGTTTGGCTCAGTGTGTAGTGACCCTACTTGCTGTGTCAGCGGTCGCGGATTCGAGTCCCGCTGGGGACATTCATTTGTGTGATGAGCACGAATGTTTGTACTCCAGTCATGGGTGTTTATATTTATAATATACATGTCTTTAAAGTTATATTTGTATAATGTATCAACTATCTGGTATCCATAACACAGGCTTCATATAAGCTTACCATGGACTGTTGTTAATGTCCCAACATATTAAAAAAATATATAATTGTAGTCATATCTCTCTCACACACTCTCTCCTTCCCTCTCTCTCACTCACCATGCTGCAGCTGCGTGCGCGAGCGCGCGCGGTAGAGCGTGTGCAGCGGCGTGGCGCACTCCACGGCGAGGTGCACGGGCGACGCGCCCGGACGGTTGATCTTGTACGCGGAATTGCGGTACAACCGGTTCTTTACACCCGCCACGTTCTTCTCCACGTCCTCTAACGACTGTACACAGAACCGTCTGTACCATAATGGCACTGTACGTACTGGCCCAGGGTGCCCAGCCTCACGGGATCCCCGAAAAGATAACGTAAATTCGTTCACGTCATGGTAAAGAGAGGGGTCAATTTTTAATCTATACTAATATTACAGAGAGGTAAAGTTTGTGAGTTTGTGACGTTGTAGGGGGTAATCTCTGGATCTAACTGCCGATTACTGAACCGATTTAGATGAAATTTAGTAAGGAGATAGTTTGAAAACCTGGGAGGGAAATAGGATACCTTTTATCCCGGAAATCATCTCTTAAGGGCGTGAAAATGGGGATGAAAGTTTGTATTGGGAAGCATGGTAGGGACGAACCCGAGCGAAGCTAGGGTGAATCGCTAGTCTATAATACACATTACACTGCACTGTATATAAGTACATACATGTATATAATAGACTGCATAATATTACGGTCCTTAGTCGATTTGTCCCCCCTTTTTTATAATTTTTTACGCCACAGAGTTTTTTTTATTATTTAATTCTTAACATTTACATTTTTAAACTTTCCAATAGGGCCCTAAATTAGGAGGCGCAGTGAAGTCAAAATTGAAAAAAAAAGAGCTCAGTAATTAATGGATACCTAATGATAATAATATCTATTTGAACTAACAATACGCTGTTAAGTCTTCTATGTATTTAACCCTTTGGGTTTTGGTCTATCGAACCGTAATAAGTATGGAACACCAAAAGAATAACTATTTGAATATGAACAATATGTTTAACACTTGAAAGACGACGAAATTTAGCTACCCACAAAGACGGTGGACGGTCAAAAATGACTGCATGTACATTCACAAAATTATTTATTAATAGAAAAAAATATATATTCTACTATTAACTAATCACATTATAATGTTCAATATATGTAGTATTTAGCAGCAATTTTTACATTTAAAATTATTATTTACATTACAAGAACACAAAACGGCTTTTTAGATTCATTTTCTGATTGGTCTTCTGGAAGGTTTTGTAGTAAATGAAGCATTTCATCATTTTGAAAACTTCGAGGCATCTTACAGTAATATACTCATAATATTCTAAATAACGCGCACAATATAATCTGAGATATCCTTGCGTCTGACGTACTTATATAAGTAAGCAATTCAAAAGTTTACAAGAATACTATTTTATATAATTACTAACGACTCACTCTCGCTTCGCTCGGGTTCGTCCCTAGGTTGCTTCCCATACAAACTTTCATCCAGATTTTCACCCCCTTAAGCGATAATTTTCGGGATAAAAACTATCCTTTGTCCTTTCTAGGGTCTGAAACTATTTTTTTTACCAAATTTCATCTAAAATGGTTCAGTAGTTTTGGAGCCTATTCGATACAAACAAACAAATCTTTCCTCTTTATAATATTAGTATAGATAAATATTACGAGCGGCTCACCCTAGCTTCGCTCGGGTTCAAAAACAAAAACAAACCTATCCAACGGGAACCATAAATTTTTCCGGGATAAAAAGTCTATGTGTTATTCCAGGCTATAATCTATCTCTGTGCCAAATTTCATCCAGATCCGTTCAGCCGTTCTGAAGGGAACGAGTAACAAACTTTCACATTTATAATATTTATTAATATACAGATAACGGTCAAATGACTATCGACGTCTTTATATAGGTGAAAATAGACGTACAATTAGTAAGGTTAGCAAAAAAAAATCAATAAAAAATAAACACTACAGAACAGTACCACTCACCTTCATAGCCTCTAAAACTGGTAGGTCGCTATTCTCCTTGTTAAACTCCGTCAAATCAGGGGGACAGTACATCGTTTTGGTGCAAATTATGAATAACCGTTTGACAGGAAATATTATATTCTCTTTCGCCTCATAGATGTCGATGTTCCTCGTGAAACCCACGAACTCCGAGCCATTGCTGGGTATGACGTGATGGAGGTACCCCTCCACGAAACTACACGCCATACCCATTCCATAGCTTACTGTAGCCTTCTTTTCCTGTAACTGTTAACACAGTATTATAAATGCGAAAGTTTTTACCTATGTGTTTATTTGTCAATTATGTGTGCTGAAACCGGCTGGACAGATTTCAATGGAGTTTAATAAACAAATCTATACATATAAAAAATTGTAACTAAGCCGAATCTGTACAATAAATATTTTTTGGAAAATCTTATTGAATTAGACATTATTATCAATACAGAGGCCGAATATGTAGTTTGTAGATTTTTTGTGTCTGTCAGTCTGTTGCGCATCACAGAAAAACCACTGGAGGGATTTTGATGAAATTCGGTATGGTGATAGCTGATTATCCGGGTCAACATATAGGATACTTTTTACCGCGGGAAAATGTCTTATTTCTGAGAAAAAATACAGAAACTGCAAAGTAAGAGTATACTAATATGTAAAACCAAAGTATTTGGTTTTTGGTCATTTGAACGCGGGCGGAGCCGCGGGCATTACTAGTGGTATAATAATAAAATAATAAATATAAATATGTTGGGACATAAAGACACACCACCATCTAGTTCCATGGTAAGCTACGAGGCTTGTGTTGTGGATACCAGATAGTTGATATACTACACATATATAACGTTAAATACATACATGTTATAAATATAACACCAATGACTGGAGTACAAATGCTCATCACACAAATGCATCCCAGCGGTACTAGAACCCGCGATCGCTGGCACAGCAAGTAGCGTCACTACAGAGACAAACGTGTCGTGTCGTATGATCTAGACTCTTTAGACTCACATAGGCACTAGATAATTGTAAACATTATCATTACATCACTTTCGCACTATCAATATATATCATACGCAGTGGTAGCCCATTGATAACACACTCATACAAAAAGGAAGTGGGTTCAAATTGGGAGTCTTGCATCTCTGAGATTTTTTTATGCGAATCTCATTTTCAACATGGTTACTTGCATATTACATACTTGCATAATACATATTAAAAACTACACATATCATATGTTAAAAGAAAATATGGTGAAGAAACCTACATTTAAAGATCCACGAAGGGCGGGCATTTATATTTGGTAACTGTCGAATCTTAGCGTATTCGATTATACATACATATATATGGGGCATTCCACGCCAAATCAGACGGTTTAAAAAAATATTTTTGATTTTCTTAATACTTTGGTATTTTTTAGTACCTCTCAAAAGAGGCTTCCTGGTAAATTTTGAGTTTTTTTTTGAAAAGAAAAATTGAAATCCGACCATTATTAAAAAAGTTACGAGCAAAACAACAAAAAAAAAGCGGTTTTGAACCAATGATCAAAAAACCTAAAAATTTACCAGGAAGCCGTCTTTAGAGTGGTACTAAAAATACCAAAATATTAAGAAAATCAAAAATAAATTTTGAAACTGTCCGTTTTGGCGTGGAATGCCCGATAAGCAAACACAACGTACTTAACAGTAACTATGAAGTAGCGGAAGTGCCTCAGTAGTATAAGCGTTTATTATACACTGTAAATTATTCATTAATATACAAACAGAGTATCGTGTTCATGTTTAGAAAATGTACCGGCAAAGCCACGAATAGCATATAGCTTACAGTTAACAATCAAAATCATTAGGTTCGTGGAATTTTGACGCCGAAGGTGGGAAGACGATGTTATTGCTCAAGGCAATGTATAAACAAATATTAAATTTCATCAAGAAACATTTAGACGCAAATAAAATTAGGCTCTTTTTTTGTTAGGGTATAGGAGTTTTTATGTTATATGTAATAGTAGGCGGTTAACTTGCACAAATAAATACATGCATATATAGCTATATATGTACATAATAAATAATTTCTATACATATAATAAAATTGTAACTATGCCGAATCTGTACATTAAATATTTTTTGGAAAATCTTATTGTAATAGACATTATTATCGATACAGAGGCCGAATCTATAGTTTTTAGAATTTTTGTCACATTTTTGCCACTGAATTGATTTTGATGAAATTTCGTATGATAACAGTTGGTTATCTGAGTAAATGAGAAAATATCTCATTTCTGAGAAATGTATACTAAACGTTAAAACGTAAGTAGGGACGAACCCAAGCGGAGCGAGGGCGAGTCGCTAGTTACATACATAGAAATGATATCTTTTAGACTCAAAAATAGTTCCATATACACTTTGAAAAAATATATTTCTTTCATAGTGTCGAAAAATTTTTTTTAAGCGATGTTATAAGTTCACCTGCTTTTAAAAAAAACACAATGTTTTATCATTATCAAGAGATTCACTTACAAGCTCCGGACATTTGTAAATCAGATATGCAACGGCTAAACTGAGAAATTCATATCCATATAGTCTTTCTTCTGAACAAAACACTATCGATATCGAAACAGCAGATATAAGCAAATGCGTCTTGATTTTTGCAAGCATACTTTTAAAATTCAGTATTTTGCCATTATTCGATGTATCATAAATCCAAGTGCTGATTTTGTACATTGCTTCTATAGTTGTTAAATATACGCTCCATCGGGCTGTAATGAAAAAGACAACACGGGTTGAACGTAAAGATTTAAAATATATTTTAATTTGCAAGTAACAAAATGTTTAAACAAAGAGAAAGGAAAATAAAAAACTTTTAAATAACTAATAGATATAAGATATGGGATAAACTCTTTAAAAACATTTTTTTTTCAATAGTTTTTATTTTTCTATTTTTAGTGTAGACGTAATAAGCAGGTAGTTAATTTATAAGAAGTAAGTTTTTTAGTAACATAATCGCTTAAGACATTTATTTAAAAATAATTTATTATTGATTTTTTTAAAAACAGCTCGACCGACTTCGATAAAATTTAAATGAGACCACCTGGGAAGTGTACCCATGGAAAAAAAAGATTTCTCCAAATCGGTTAAGACCGAGTAATCGGTGAACATACATTAAAAAAAAGATACCGACGAATTGAGAACCATCTCCTTTTTGGAAGTCGGTTGGAAATATCGAAAATGCCACGCTGTGTTTAAATAAATATTCACATTTTTTCTAAAAATTTGAGACCACCATTGAGATGTAGCTAACGTTCATAATATTATGTATGCAGTATATATGTCGCAGCTCGCAGGGAAATTGTAAAAACCGTGAAATTATAATTTTACTAGTAAAATTATAATTACCCGTAGACCCGTATTGTCAATCTTCTCCTTCTCTTTCAATATCACTGGCTATTTTAGGTATATTGTAATTCTGTGTGGACAGAACACATAGGCTACTTCTAGTAATAAAAATGTTCAAGTGGTGGCACTGCCTGCTTGTAACTTTATACAAATAAAAGGCCTCAAGCAAAGAGATGGTAAGTGGTTAGTTCATTTAAAATATTAATAGGTAGTAATTAGTATAACATTAATAATAATTTTTTAATAAAATAAAAAAAATACAAAGTTACAATTTTACCCAAAAATAAATAAATAAACAAGCATTTAAATAAATAAAATGCCATAATATTTCTTATAAATTAATGTGTAGGGCTTGTTTATATGATACACCATTCAATTCTTATCTTCAAATGTATGTACTCATGTGTAAAATGTATATACTAAGTACACACCATTGACTGTTTACAAAATACTAAAAATAAGTATACATTGATAAACATTATGGCCTGTGTGACATGACACTGGCAATGATTACTAAGAAACTAAAAGTTGATATGTTTCTTTTAACTAAAAGTTGATATGGTTCATATAAAATACTAGCGAGTCACCCGCGCTTTGCTCGGGTTCGTTCCTAGGTATATTTAACGGTTAGAATGGAACAGAAAATCTTTGTGAAAAACAACAACATATCTATCCCATGGGAACCATAGATTTTTCCGGTATAAAAAGTAACCTATGTGCCATTCCAGACTAAAATCTATTACTGTGCCAAATTTCATTCAGATCCGTTCAGCCGTTCTGGCGTGATTGAGCAATAAACATCTATCTATTCAGACTTCTACATTTATAATAATATTAACTAGCGGCTCACCCTCGCTTCGTTCGGGTTCGACTCTAGAAAGACAAAAACAAATCTATCCCTTGGGAACCATATATTTTTCCGGGATAAAAAGTAGCCTATGTTATATTCCAGACTATAATCTATATCTGTGCCAAATTGGACGACACGTTTGGCTCAGTTTGTAGTAACCCTACTTGCTGCGCCAGCGGTCGCGGGTTCGAGTCCCGCTGGGGGCATTCTTTTGTGTGATGAGCACGAATATTTGTACTCCAGTCATGGGTGTTTATATTTATAATATGTATGTATTTAAAAAAGTTATATATGTATAATGTATCAACTATCTGGTATCCATAACACAAGCCTCGTAGCTTACCATGGAACTAGATGGTGTTGTGTGTTAATATCCTGACATATTTATTTATTTATTTCATCTAGATCCGTTCAGCCGTTCTGGCGTGACAGCGTAACAAACATTCATACTTACAAACTTTCACATTTATAATATTTATACAAATGGGATACAGTGTGTAACATGACTGATGGATTAAAGCTAGCATGGGTGTAGAGAATCTCAGTACAATACTCTATGAATTTAACACCCATGTACATTCAGCAATTTTTAGAGGTTCCAAAATAACTTACTTTTATAAATAGAGAAAAGTAGATTTTAGACTAAACATAGCAAGTATGTGAGTTTAGAGAAAAAAACCTGCACTTGACTATTAATGTGGTTTATGGTCTGTCCTCCTTACATTAAAGGGAGGACCATGCCCAGCAGTGGGACATTAAAAAAAAGCTGAATACATAATGTATCAAATGACACAATACCCTTATCCTTACTTGTAGAACCACATTTCATGTTTATTATTTACAACAATATAGCCCATATGTACTCCAAGCCTGCCAGGGCTTAGTCTATCTGCATATCAAATCTCACCCACCAAATTTGAGCATAAAAAAAGTAACAATCATACATATACTCATTTTGGGATTTATAGTAGTAGTGTGATTATTTATTATCACTTTTTGGATGCAATTCAGGCAAATTATTTCAGAGAAATAAATTTTGCAGATAAAAAATTGATAATAATGCAGATACCTTTTTTACATGTAAAAGCTATCTCCACACTTTTAAAAACACTTCTTTTTTCTTAATCTTGCAGAATAAATCAATTAAATAATATATTTATCATATATATCGAGGAAATATACATTACTTTTTAACTTTGCTTGGTTAGTGTTTTATCCTATCAACTCATTAATAATAATTAAAGGCATTTTAAAATCCATACATATAATAAAATTGTAATTAAGTTGAATCTGTACATTAAATATTTTTTGGAAAATCTTATTGAAATAGACATCATTATCGATACAGAGTCCGAATCTATAGTTTTTAGAATTTTTGTGTGTCTGTCTGTCTGTTACCGCATCACAAGAAAACCACCGGACAGATTTTGGTGAAATTTGGTATGATGATAGCTGGTTATCCGGGTCAACATATAGGAGGACTTTTTACTGCGGGAAAATATGTCATTTCTGAGAAAAAATACAAAGACTGCATTGTAAGAGTATACTACTATGTAAAACCTAAGAATTTGGTTTTTAGTCATCTGAACGCGGGCGGAGCCGCGGGCAATGCTAGTAAGTACCTAAGTTCTTAATTTTAGAAATTATTTTAAAACAAAATCTTACCAACAGATAAGAAGAATTCGGACTGAGTCATTTTATGTAGCCTGCAAAGGAATTTAATTATTAATAAGCTTCTCATTTATTTTTTATTAATTTGAAATTACATAAATATATAATCTCATATCCGTTGCACATTATATTTTCATCACTTTATTTTAACAGAAATGTTTTAAAAAATACGTAATAAAAACTCATGTTAACTTCTATTAAAGTAACCTTAGACTTAACATTGAATAGATCATTATTATTAAAGAATACAGTAGTTTACAGTTTCTCTGTTATGACATACATATTATAGATAACGACGTTACGTACTTGCAAATAAATAATTTAAGTTGAGAGTATATTATTATTCTATGACTGAGACAAAGTAAACTCAACTAAATTGGAATTCAAATTTCATATTTGTTATTTGAGAAGTGTCAGTCAGCTGTCAGCAACAGGCAACACCTACAATGTAATATAGCACAGACTAAATAGAAACACAGACCATGGTAATATTCACAGACTATAGGAAATACAATAAATACGAATGGAATAATATATGTATAGGCCTAACTAATATCCAGTATACACCAGACCTCACATCCATCCAATTTTTTTCATTTTTCTTGTAATACATACGCTTACATCTGGTTTGATTTGCTTCAGATATCTTGTTGTGTAAACGGTCATATCGGATTTCATAGATATTTTTAGTCAATATGGTATAGAGCTTCCCCTTTAGACACCATATATTGAGTAGTGCTAAAATTACATTAATTATTTTGTAACATAACTATTGGATTATTCATTTAGATGTCCAACTCTAATATTCGTAAAAAGAGATCTTTTTCATGTACCTTTTCACTAAAACAAAATTTGATTATGATCTGTTTTTAAGTCATAGGCATGCATGATTAATAGTCATAGATCCTGTCGTGAGTATAATGGCGAAGAATTTTGCCTTTTTCTCCCGCCAGACATCGAGATCACAATAGCTCTCACAGTATATTGTAAAGCACTATATCGGAGATGGATGTTTTTGAAGTAAAACTTCTTTACGCACGCTTGACTTGGGGAGTAAGCTGGTGAATGCGTAACGAGAACGTTACGAAAAGTATGATCGGGCGAGGCGAACGTTTCTTGCCATTTTAACCGTTGTTATTGTCTGACAAATTATATATAATATTATCTTTCCTTAAATGATATTCTATAAATATATGATTGTAATATACCTAATATGCGTTATTTAATTATTTTAATTAAAATTTATCATTCCTTTTACAAATAGGATGAAATACTGGATGAAATCTTTAGCTATTTTTGTAGCCAAAGAAGTATAAGTTCTTACGTGAGTTCATAAGTACGAAACACACGTTTTCTTATAATAATTATTATGTATAAAAATATACACTGGCGTGCAAAAAAATCGGGCCACCTAGAGAAAATGGACAAACTTAAGATATGACATTTTTTATTAATTTTGTTATTATATATGAGTAGCTGTATACCCTAGGTACCTAAATCAATAATCGTTGAATAATTTAAATAAAAATTATTGTTCGATATTAGAGGAAAATCAAATTTAATGATTTTTCCCGAGTTTGGTATAAAAATGTAAGCCGCAAATTAATGAGAAAATTAAAAGATTTCGATTGGTTATATGATTTTTAATAATACGTATTACCGCCTCTATTTTTAATTTCAGCTTTTAATCGGTTTTTCAGAGATTTGACACACTTTTTTAGATAATCTTGTGTAATAGACTCCCATTCTTCCAATAAGGCGCTTTTTAATTCTTGAATGTTGCTCGGGACTACTACGCGACTTCTAACTTTTCTTTTGAGATGGTCCCACACATGCTCTATCGGATTGAGGTCAGGGCTTCGTGCTGGCCAGGCAATAGTAGACACTCCGACCTCTTGAAGTTACTGCCTTACTGATGTAGCAGTGTGTGGGCGAGCATTATCTTGTAGAAGCAGAAAATCTTCTCCAATGAATCCAGTAAAATGCATCACATGATCTTCTAAAACCTCCGTTATATACCTAGCGGTTGTAGGGTATCTATTTTCTATGAATATAAGCTCGGTTTTCGCTTCGTAACAGAATCCTGCCCAAAACATAACTGAGCCCCCTCCATATGACACTGTTTCCCGCACAGTGCATCGTGCATAACTTTCACCTGGTCGCCGGTAAACAAAATTACGGCCGTCGGCACCATGCAAACACATTCTGCTTTCGTCAGTAATAAGAACCTTCTTCCACTGCTCCAAATTCCAATTCGCGTGATCTCGGGCAAAAATAATCTTGCAATTCAATGTGCAGGGATGAGTTTGGGGCCAGTTGCGGACTTGCGTGGCGTCAGGAAAGCGGCTCTAAGTCGGCGCCTTACTGTCCACTCGCTAACATTAACACCTCTCACTTCTCTCAGGAGATTTCGAACGTCAACCCCTGTGCGATGACGATTTCTTAGAGCTGATGACACAATAAATCGATCATCACGGTCTGATGTGGCTCTTCGTCGGCCGGAACCATGTCGTCGTACAAAGCCACCAGTCTCTATGTAACGTTTGTACACTCTCTGGACCGTAGAACGGCTCACAGAAAAAGCTTGAGCCACTTGACGTTGGCTTTGTCCAGTTTCAAGCAAAGTCACAATTCGAGATGATTCAGCCTCGGTCAGATCCATCTTGCAGTATTTCTAATAATCGCAGATTAAAGTAGAAGTGTCTTGTTCAATAATTGGAACTCAACTAAGCTTCTAAAATAACAAAAAACAGTATTTGTGGCTTCAATCCATATTATGCAAATATTCACTAATTACTGCTAATTGACTATAATTAAGCGCACACGTGCATTTCTAGGAGTTTTATGACTTTTTTGAAGGAAACAAAGGCGTCTAATCTCCTTAATTACCTTTGCGGTATTTTTTTTCACCAAACAATTGTCAACAAAAAATTATGCTTAAAATTAAGGGTGGCCCGATTTTTTTGCACGCCAGTGTATATTTATTAGTAATTTTGTAATAATTATTAGGGGAACAAGTATTAGTCCACCACGCTGGCCAATTGCAGCTTGGCGGACTTCACATGTCTTTTGAAAACTTGCTAAGTTCTCTCAAACATGCAGGTTTCCTCACGATGTTTTCCTTCACCGATAAGACAAGTGGTAATCATATTGGAAATGATTTGCACATTAAAATATCAGAGGTGCGAAACCTAAGATTTAAGCCCGCTTCACTCGGTTTTCCAAGCGAGCGCTTTACCACTGGGCTACTACTGCCTAATACTCTCTCATGAAAAAGATACTTTTTTAGTTTTGGGATATTAATAATTATACTAGAATTGTTGTGACTAAAATAAACATCAATATTTAATTCTTTATTTATTTATAATGCAGTATATGATTAATGGTGTATTTGTATAAGTTTGGCGACATAGGTTTTGAAACAAACGTACTCACATCGCACTTCCTTTGTTTTTCTTTTCCGTGATTATAACCCCTATATTAGTACGCTCTTAGGCAAGATGCTCTGTGTTAATAGCCTGGTGTTTTCGTTGGAGCTTTAATCTCTCAGATAATCTCTTTAGGACTCACTACCTATAAGGGTAAGTATAACTGCAGCATAAACCATAAAGGATTCCCAGTCCAGTCTATTTATTTAGTTATTTTAAATAAAACTATCTTTTCGGATTTTGTCGCGGATTTATTTGTATTTTTGTTTCCCGACGTTTCGAATGCTTTACAGCATCCATGGTCACGGGAGAGACTGAGGTGTTACATGTCTTAAAGATATAGTTGTTACAGACAGCCTACCCACAATTAACAAAATGAAAATTGCACCAATTACATTACAATATTTTAACTTTAAATATGTTTATAATTTTAATTATAATTGAATATGAAAAATTATTTATTTAATTTTTGCTATTATTTTTATAATTATTACAATTTTAAAAAAATTAAATATTTATTTATTGGTAATCTTACAGCGTTATAAAATTGTTGATATACAGTTAGAGCACAGAGTTATTAATAAATATGGCCAAGATTAGATTACTCTATTAGATATAATAGTGTATGTATTAGACAACAGAGTACAGAGTAATAAAGGAAGAAAAAGTCTGAATAAATTAAATTGATCATACTACTGATATGCACATCAAACATAATGTGTTTACATGTATCTGCGGGTGTGTACGTATGGATGTGTGTGTGTGTGTGTTTGTGTGTGTGTATGTGCATGCGTTTGTGTGTGTGTGTGTGTGTGTATATTTGTGAGTATATGTGTGTTTCTGTGTTATGTATGTACGGGTCTATAGTAGTTATGGATATATTTACAGTTATGCACACCTATTTATATAGATTACGGGTATATGAAGACATTAAGCATTTTCATTTTTTTAAGAGCGTGTTTAGAGAGATTAAATATGTCTAAGTCGCTGTAATATTTGTTATAGGTTCGTGTCAGACGCGGTATGATGCCGTTTTTAGCATATAGTGTTTTTTTTGGTGGTTCATATAATAGGGCGGTATGTCGCGTTCTAAATTTTGGGACAAGTAGTGATATATTTGACAGCAAGTCAGGACAATCAATTCTGCCAGTTAAAATTGCTTGTAACAAAGTAATGTCACTTTGTGTGCGTCTATGTTCAAGTATTTCAATGCCGTAGTGTTTGTATGCACTTTGGTATGTATCAAAGTATTTAAAATCCTTGAATTGTAAATATTTTATGAGCTTAGTTTGTATATTTTCAAGTCTTTTGATATGTATTTGGTAATAAGGTGACCAGATGTTACTGCCATATTCTAAAATGCTTCGTACATACGTAAAGTAAAGAAGTTTAATACACTCTGTATTCGTGAAATTTTGTGTAGCTCGTTTAATGAATCCAAGCTGTTTGTGTGCCCTGTTTATTATTATGTCGTAATGTTCCGAAAAGGATAGTTTCTGATCAAGTGTAATACCTAAATCTTTTACAGAGGTAGCTTTTTCGATGGATATTCCGTTAATATTATAGTTGTAATAGATGGGTCTCTCTTTTCGACTGAAAGTTATGTGATGACACTTACTAACATTTACCTTGATCCTATTTATTTCATAGTAATGGGCTAGTGTGTTTAAGTCTTCTTGTATTTTTATGCAATCTTCAATAGTTTTGACCTTAAGAAAGATTTTTTTGTCATCAGCAAACATTAAGAATTGTGAATGCCTAAAGCATTTATCTATATCATAAAGATATGCATTATATGTATAGAAGAGGCCCCAGTACTGAACCTTGTGGTACACCAGAAGGTACACACGTGAAGTTGCTTCTAGCATCGCCTATAATTACTGCTTGCATTCTATTTTTAATATATGTGTAAACCGTCTAAAAAGATTTCCCTGTATTCCTAACTGATGTAACTTTTGTAGTAAAATTATGTGGTCTACGCGATCAAAGGCTTTCTCAAAATCAGTGTAAATCACATCGACTTGGTCGCGTCCGTCCATAGCGTCAAAGATGTAGTTTGTAAAGACTCCTAAATTTGTTACTGTGGAGCGTCTGTGCATGAATCCGTGTTGTTCTTCAGGGATAGATTTCGTTATAGTAGGTCCAATTAGATCATAAATGATTTTTTCAAATACTTTACTCATAGCATTTAAGATTGAGATCGGTCGATAAGTCAGTCGTGTGTAACTAACTTCCCATTTAATAACAATACCAGTAATTTATATATGTAGCAATATACTCTATGACCAGTAACCAGTTACCTTTATTTACTCTGTGGTTTCCGTCAAAGTGAGAAAACAGAAAAATTATAAATTTATATTAAGTTTCACTTTTTACTATTTTTCAAGCTAAATTCCAAGCCAAAAAATCAAGATAGATTAAAGTAAATTATATAAAATAATCAACTAGAAAGATTGAGAACAAGAAGACGAAGTGTTTGAACAATTGACATTATTTGACGGTTCAATAATCAAGACTAAGATTTAAAACAAAAAAATTAAAATACCTGCAAGATATTATAACGACCGATCACTGTATGAACTCATTTTACCTAAGAAATAGATATGGTTGTCTGTAAATTTTTTCACCAAGGATATTGTCGGTTTGGGCAGAGTTGCAGATTTGAACATGTTTATGGTTCAAAGTATTCATATCGAGGTAAACATTATAATTTTTTAGAAGTAATAATTAATTTTTAGAATATCTATTTATATTGAATTAATTTTTCACTTTATTTATTTTATTTTAGCTCCACAAACTCAAAATCAAAACTCTAATACTGGAAATCAAAACGGTTTTGGGAGTAATGCATCATCATTATTTCGAAGTGCTGTACAAAATACAGCTACATATAATAATGCTGCTAATAATTCTGCTTTCGTGCAGAATCCACCAAGAGTGTCTGTTTTTAACAGACTAGGTGAACAAAATTCAAATTTTAATCAAAATAATCAGGCAAGGTCCATATTCGCACAAGCAAATCAAAATGTTTTTCAAGATAGTCAACCAACAAATGTATTTCAAACTCAGAATCAGGCAAAATCAATTTTTTCACAAGCTACACAAAACGTTTTTGGTTCACAAACTAACTTTGCAGCTCAAAATAATGCAGCTAATTTATTTGCAAGTGCGGCACAAAAAGTATCACAGAATAATGTGTTTGACTCACAGATGAGTTCTTCTCCGATGATAACTAACAATATTTCTCAAACATCAGAAAGACCAACATCCAATGTATTCGGTGTAGTTTCTAGTAATTTTGATCAAAATTATAATAATGAAGATACATTATATTATAGCAAATTAGAAGATTTGTCTGCAGATGCAATAGAAGCTTTTAACAGTGCAGATTTTAAGTTAGGTTATATACCAGAACTGCCACCACCTAAGTCTTTATGTATATAACTGTAATATTTTTTCTATTTTTTATCATTAATTTAGCTGTGTAAAGAGTAAATAATTAAGACCCTTATAGAGATTTTTATTTACTAAGAGTAATGACCCTAGAAATTAAGATTTTGGTAGGAACACAGACCACATAATACTATACTAGTATAGATGTCTCATCCCATACAAAGAAATAAAAATTGAAGTAGTAAACATTGATACCTCATTTAGACGGCTATATTATAGCAATACAAGTTTATAAATGAAAGAGAATATAGTTAATTAAAATGTACACTTTAATGAAACCAGTATCTACATTTGTCATCTGATGGTTATGGGTATAAACCTAGTATCCACAATAGCTTGTTGGTAGTAATGCTGATGAAGGCTCCACATCTTGCTGTGGTACAGCAGCTTTGCTAGTTAATAGCAGGGCTCGGAACCGGTTTAAAAAATGGTTTATTTTTTTAATGTAATGGTTAATTCATTGCTCGTTCTTTAACCGGTTAATAAAAACGAATGGTTTAGGAAACTAAAATAATAATGGTTAACTATTTTTAGAGAAAGGTTAGACTTTGCTTTTGATACAGAAATAAACCGTTTAATTCGTTCACAAGTAAGAAACGTGCATGTATCCTTCTACTAAACAATTCACTATTAACAAAGATTCGCTAAATATAAACACATAAAAACTTAATTTAACTGGTTAATTTTAATCATGGAACCTAAATTCTTTAAAAACCGTTCTCCGGGTTTTTACCAGTTACAGTACGTAACCAAAACCTTAAACTGAAAAGCCTTACGGTTTGAGGTCAATGACCAAAACCGGTTTAAAAATAGAACAGATGTCCGAGCCCTGGTAATGATGATAATTAAGGGCCGCCCCAAACTATAATGCCGATCACAGTCCGATCTCGGTCCGAGATTGGTCTGGTAAAGTATTGTTATACAAGAAACAATGAGTGCATTCACACTATCGGAATACTGCGTAAATATCAATGTGTGGAACTAATGTCTGGTTCGGTCTCACTTAGGATAAATAGATAATTATTGTATTACAATATTGTACACAATTATTATTTTAAAAGAGAAACTGTTGAGTTTCTCGCCGGTTTTTCCCAGCAGATCTGGCAGATTCCTCACGAATTGTACACTGATATTTAATTTTAATTTAAAATGTAAAATTGACCATTCAAAAGGGCTTGTAAAAGTCTATTCGAATAAAGTATATTTTGATTTGATTTGATCAGTAAGACTGAAGTTCCGGCCGAATCACGCACCAGCAACGTTTCTTGTATAGAAGTACTTTACCAGACTGAGAACGGACTGTGATCTGCACTAGAGTGGAGCGGCCCTAAAGAGTCAAGGCTCGATCTCTCAGAGGTAGACGAGCTATGCTTGTTGGTAATGATGATGAGTATGGAAGTATGGAGTCAAGGCTCGATCTCCCCGAGGTAGATGAGCTTGTCGGCGGAGGCGGAGAGCAGCACGGGTTCGGCGCGGTGGAAATGCACGTCGGTGACGGCGCCGCGGTGGCCGGGCAGCTTGTACAGCACGCGCCGCGACGTCGTGTCCCACACGTACACGTGCCGGTCCGACGACCCCGCCGCTACCTGCCACGAAGCACACCACTACGTTTATTTATTTAATAGAGGCATTCCACATTTCAAAAAATTTTATCTCTGATTTTTTTAATATTTTGATATTTTTTTAGTACCTCTCAAAAGAGGCTTCCTGGTAAATTAATTTTTTATTTTATATTAAATTGAGATATTTTTGATCACTGATTCAAAAATATAGAATTTTCAAAAAAACCGCTTTTTTTGTTTTTTTTGCTCATAAATTTCTTAATAATGGTCAAAGTTCAATTATTTTTTTCAAAATTTTTGTTTTTGCATTACCTTTATATAAAAAAATAATTAAAATGTTTTAATCAAGACTTTTGAATTTTAAGTTTCCAATTGTGTTTTTAAAACTGTATGTATTCTTAGATTTTTTTTAATATTTTCTATTTTGAGCATCTATCCACCAAGCAAATTTTAAGCCTAGTACTGGGCCTTCCATAATTACTATTTTTTCGATTTAAAAATAAAAAAAAATTTCATTTTTAAATATACCGGGCTTAAAAGTTACATCATGGATAGAAGCTTAAAATTCACATGGAAAAACACGTTATAATACAACCCAAAAAATATTTATGATCAGATTATTTTTATACAGAATTACTTGAAGCCACGGGTTCTGCTTATAGACTATATATACATAGGTATCATGAGATTTATATCTCTCACTTGAGAAATGAATAATAATTGATCCTCTATGCAAACTTCCACCCCCCTTTTATCACTCATATAAGTATTATATTAAAAGTTTTCTGTTCTAATAGCTGAATTATATTTATAAATTTTAGCACATTAGTTGTACCTTAGATCCATCAGGTGACCAGGCACATCGGAGTAAGTTTTTCTCAAAGTTATGCTGATGACCTGACATCAGTTTGACGCATCTCTCTGAAGGAGCAAACGGCCTCACATCCCATATCCTTAGTGTGTTGTCCATAGAGTTGGATAAAAGGTAAGACCCGTCATACGACAAAGCCATGCCTGTGAATTGGAAAATTGAATATAAGTTTATATTAATGACACATTTTGCTCAGTTTGATGACCCTACTTGCTGTGCCAGCGGTCGCGGGTTCGAGTCCCGCTGGGCATTCATTTGTATGATGAGCTCAAATGTTTTCTACTCCAGTCACAGGTGTTTAGATTTATAATATGAATGTATTTAAACTTATGTGTATCAACTATCTGGTATCCATAACACAAGCATTGTAGCTTACCATTGAACTAGATGGTGTGCTGTGTGTTAGAGTCTCATCATATTTATTTATTAACTTTGTTTGAGACCATCAACAGGAATTACTTTTTGTTATAAAAAAACAGTAACTTTTTAGGGACAAAATTATTAAATATGTAAAAAAACATAATTCAATAAGGGCTATCATTTGTGTTGACAGCAGTTAGCGCCACTGATGAGTAAGCTCAAAAAGTAATTGTTGAAAAATGATTTGTTGGTGCGGCAGGAACAATAAATTTAATATAATAATAATTGTAAGTACAAAACTAGTTGTACCAGGATTTTATTTTTAATAATTGATAATAGCCTGATAGATAAAATATTGACTTTTTCTTAGCTCTTCTTTAAAACTTTAAAGCAATAACATTTATTGAATTGTACCGTGTCTGCCATTATTAACCATGAATGGCACAATCTTTACAATTACATGAATAATTAGTGAAGACTGCAGTGAAAAGCTTATAAGGTAAATATTCAATATCATTTGACATTTCTAGAGACCTCACTTTACGGTAGCCCTCATTAAAGTGGAAAACTACATGTTGCTTATTTCATTGAAGAAACTGGGCGGTATTGGACTAACTAACCTGTAACAGTATCCGTATGACCTTTTATTTTGTAAGCAATTTGGTTATTTCTAATATCCCATACTTTAATTACATTATCTACGCCTCCTGATATAATCTTCTCTGCTGTGTCATTGAAAAGTACTGATGTGACAGGATATGTGCTATCAAAGGATGCTATAGGATTTCTTTTCCTTGCATCCCATAATTTGATGGTATTATCATCTGATGCTGATACTAAAAGTTCAGGACCTCTCCTTGCACCTGTAATTAGATATATTATGTGGGTTGTGTGGTAAAAATGTTTCCGTAAATGAAAGGCAGTCTGTTAATGCAGACAGAATGTAGAGTCATATCACATTGTAATCATGACTACTTATCGCTTTACACATTAAAATGTTTTGTTAACAAGATTAAAGTTTAACCTACTGAAATGATAGTTAATATTTAATATGCAAAAAGTTAAACATCGATATAACATAAATGTAAAATAAGTTGGGAAAAGAAGAAATATAATACTTGTAAATATACAAACCTGATACAGAGTTAACAAAATTTGCATGTCCCTTTAACTTCTTAATCCTGGTTCCTGTTGGTACATCCCAAACTGCTACAGTAGTGTCAGTAGCACAAGTGTACATGTGGGCCCCGTCAGGTGAGAAACATAGTTCCATTATTGCCCCAGTGTGGCCTTTCATTACCATTATGTTGTCACATTGTCCATAAACATTCCAGAGAACTGTAATATATTTTGTAAGACTGGTTTAATATATAATTTTTAACTATAAGATGAAATTATAAATAATCTTATTACAAGAGCAAGATTCATTTATAAGAATAGAATAAGATAAAGAAAAATATAATTTTTAAAGTTTTTTGGTAGTTATAAAATGGAAGTTATTAAGTTTGACAAATGTTTTAAAAAAAAAGTCGATAACTTACATATTTGCCTATCAAAACCAGCTGATGCTAAATGTTTGCCTTCTGGGTGAAACTTGGCTGTGAAAATTTCACCTTGATGTCCTTCTAGTAACATTATAGGTGCATACAAGTTTGAAGTTCTTGGTACCTGAAATCATCCATTGGTTTGGATTTCTGATAATTTATTTGTTTTTATAATATATAATTTTCATAGTTATCGAACATGAAATATTTTATTTTATAAATAAGAACAGTGAAGTGAAGCTAAAGTAGCGTTAAATTTAATATTTGATATAAAAATATAAACAACAAAACTTACGGATGAGGTTACCACAGCTTTTTCTCGTGTGCCGACAACAGAAATTTCATGGCGAGTTTTTTTGGCAGGCACCACGGAAAGCTCTTCCGCTTTTCTTTTTGCTTCTAATTCTGGCATTCTGTTTAAATATAATAAAAATACACAAAAATTACATTAAACTACGAACGACGCGACGCAATCTAGTGTTTTGTTATCTGACTTGAAGTTGACGGCTATCGGCTAATGTATTTTGGCATTGACATTAAAACAACCATAGATAATATTTAAAGTGTTCACTGTAATATTTTACTCTAACTTCTAACAATAAGCCATAGTAATGAGAAAAAAATATGTATTTTAAAACATTTGCTTTTATTTAAACGAGAAAAACAAGTTATTAGGTTTTAGGCTCTATCAATTTTTGACATTCTTCAACGTATATAAAATAATAATTTATAAATATTTAATACTAACTTCTAAGTACCTACCTATTAAAATATCTGTAATTCTGCACGTCAACTTTGACCTCTTTGTCAAATGTCAAGTTCAAAATCATGGATGACAAATAAAGTTCAAAATCAATACGACTGCTGTCAAAACAAAGCACAAAGTTTAAAAACCAAAAAAATGTAAATTAAAAATAATCACGAAATAGAAGTGAATTGGATTTTCTAATAATGCAAAAGTTACAACTATCGCTAGCTATTATAAAGCCTCATGCCGTAAAGAATCCCGTCGCTCTTTCATACATTAGAAACGTAATTAAAAACACATTCGTTGTCGTAAAAACTAAAAGAATTCTATTAGATAAAGAGACAGCTGGAAAATTTTACAAAGAACATGTTGAAAAATTCTTTTATAACCGCCTAGTTACATTTATGGCTAGGTAAGTGTAATTTAGAAATTTGAAGAGGTTATATCTATTAGGTAATTTCTTGTGCTTATGTTCGAAAATAAAAGAAAATTAATTATAATATAATAAAATTAATTTAATAAGTAAGCCATATATAGAAAACTTCTTAAAAAGTTTTTATTTCAGTGGCAGTATAGATTTACACATAATTGGCCATACAAATGCAATAGATTTGTGGAGACGAATGCTTGGACCTACCAAAGTATACCATGCCCAATTTAAAGAACCTTATTGTTTGAGAGGTATGTTTGGTATATCTGATACAAGAAATGTGGCTCATGGATCAGGTATGTTGGATTTTTATAATAGAATAATAAATATAAGTAATTTATATGTAACTTTTTAATTAAAATAAATACATATTTTGTATCCCGGATCAGCCATGTCTAAGAAAATTAGAAGAATAAAAATAGAAATTTCATTTGTTGTGTATTTATTCCCTTTTGAACACATATTTCTATGATTCACTATAAAACTTTTCTGGTGACTAAAAGTAATAAGCAAGGCCATGCGATGCTATGATGCAAGGGCAAGCATTTGGAGCTACAAATACCATAGACTCTCATGCTCAACTTATGTAGACTCTAATTTTTGTAATTTGACAGAGTTGTCTAGCAAGTGATATGATATATACCTACCTTTTAGCAATATAGCTCCAATAGTCAAGTAATATTACATGGACAGACAGACGGACAAATTATAAGGATTTCGTTTTTGCTTTTTAGCTAAAGAACCATTTCCAAAACATGCATCATATGAGAGAATCTACTGCATGGTTCTGGTAATAAGCCACTATTCAAGAACATAAATCCAATTGCCATATGTAAAAAAAATATTAAATAGTTGCCAACAGAATTGCAATATATTACGATGTAAATAGATATTTCTTTCTTATTTTCAGATTCCGAAGTGTCAGCTGAAAGAGAAATTAAGTTCTTTTTTCCAGATTTTTCCTTTCACAACTGGCATGAACATGAAGAAATAACTTATAGAAAAGGGCCTATTATATTTAATCATCATTTATTCCAACACGTTAGAAGGCTTTAATATGATTTAGTTTATTTTAAATATAGCTCAATATCTAATTTAAAAGTTAGATTGGCCACAACAACAAAGTTGTAATAATTATGTGGTAGAATAGGTATTATCAGGGGCAGATCTGCATATAGGCTTTTTAGGCTGCATCCCAGGGCCCCTAAGATATAACAGGCTACTTATATAGCTCCCGGTATATATCTAAAATAAAAAAAATAATGGCAAAAATGGTTGGCCTAATAACTCTTAAGATCAATGAAGAACCAAACAATGTTATCTTAATTTCGTCTACAACTATCTATAATTATAGATTTAGAAAGACAAAATGACAATTTCTTTAGGCCCCCAAGTGTTATCCCAAGGCCTCCCAAATTCACAGTCCTCACCTGAGTAGTATTATAAATATGCCTAATTCCTATTATTTTATAGATTGTAGTTACAATAACTTAACACACATAGTACTATTAGAATCACAAATTTTTAAGTACATTATTATTCATGTTAACATTTTTCAGTGGATTGTTATTTTTATACTGTATTTGTTGTATTTATATAGTTTAATTTTGATAACATTTGAATTTCAATTGAACTTCGTGTAAATGTAAGTAGTATATGTTACCATACATGTAACAAGATTTATGAAAGACAATTTTAAACCAAAAATTAACAGATAATAAAAATTGAATACACATTCGAAGTATTTATTTATAATTGTTTGCATGTTTTTGTGTTGTTTCTAGATTAAATTATTAATTAGACAGTCATAGTATTAATATTTTAGAATTTTTACTTGGTAGATTAGTAAAATTATTATTACACAACAGACATGTATCACATACAAGCCACTCACCTTAGCTTTGCTTCAGGTCTGTCTGTAGTGAAAAACAAAACAAAATACCCCATGGGAATAATCTAAGTGCTCCAGACTATAATCTATCTCTGTGTCAAATTTCATCCAGATCCATTCAGCCATTCTGGTGTGATTGAGCAACAAACATATATTCAAACTTTTGCATGTATAATATTATAATGGGATTTGATTTTACCATATAAATGTCAAACATTTTATTTTAAAGCTTATTTAAAATCAAATCACTATTAGACCAATTATATGAATATATTTAAATTTCCAAAAGATAGAATCACTGTAAACCATATAAATATATTATTATAAGATATAAGACAAATTACAACTATACTATATTATACTATTACTTATATCACAAAAATTTTACTGTAGGTAACTTTTTGGACAGACTATATTTTGTAGTTAATTTTTTTTATTTCAGCAATTTTCACAAATAATATACATTTTATCGCCTCATTTATAATATTAAAAAAAAACATTTTATAGTCAAAAGTCAAATATTATATAAATTTGAAAGAAAAATATCTAAAAATTCATATAAATTTAGAATGATAAACCAAAAATTAATACTACTCTCCAATTTTAACATACACTTTGGGTCTAGAAAAAACTTTGATGCCCTCTTCTAGTTTAGCCAATTGTTTTTCTAATTCCATTTTCCGATTCCGCATCCTTAGTGTGTCAGTTTTCACCGGCATCTTATTTAATTCACTTACTAGTTCTGCAAAACCTGTAAAAAAAACAGAATGATTATTACCTTTAGTACCATCTAATATTTATATTTCCGATTGTTTACTCAGAAACTAAATATGAAATTATTGTAGTTCTGTTAGTCATGACAATTAAATCCCATTAATCCTACTAATATTATAATGTGAGGATGGATGGGTGTTTGTTACTGTTTCACGCCAGAACGGCTGAATGGACCTGGATGAAATTTAACAAGAATTATATTATAGTCTGGAATAGCACATTTTTTTCATAGAAAAATGTATGGTTCCTGTGGAATAATTTGTTTTTGTTTTTTTTTGACTAGAGACAAACCCGAGCGAAGCAAGTGTGAGTTGTCAGTTTTAAATAAATGTATTGAATGTTAAGTAAAATTACCAAATAAACATGTAATATTGTAAATATAACCTTTTTATTTATCTAATGAATTTCATACCGGAATATTAACCTTATAGAAAACTGAGCTTCATAAAATACTTACTATTTCTAAGCATACGCAGAGTTTCTTTTCTTTCATTATCAGGTAAGGTCACATGTCCTTGCGGACATGCTGTATGATCTTCATCAGGTTTTGTATCTTCAACTTCTTTAGCACTCTCCTTTCTATCACGGAGGTACTTTGGCAGAACACCTTTTTGATAACCTGTGGTGATTAACAGTGATATTTTTAAAAATATGCCTCCTATTATTATAAACCCCTTTTATCAATGAAACTAAAAATATATAAAAAAAATCAATGTAATATATTTATTAATATTTGGTCTCAAAACTAGGGGAGAAATTGCAGTAAATGTGAGATAATAATTTGAATGTTTAGTTCCATAAATATTTTTTATATCAAAATATGACACACATAATAAACAACATTATAAAAACTTATACAATAGAGCAGGTATGCCAAGTCAACATTATCATTAAAAGTAATTTCTTGCAGGCATAAATATTATCAGATTCAAATATTACATGTAAAATTGTAACTAACTTTGACTTTAGATTTTTGTATACTGTAAATAGTTATATTTTCTGTTTTAGTTATAGAAATGTTTTACCATTCTTAACTACAGTGTTTGTTCACAGAGCAGATGTATATTAGCATTATTAGAAAATAAAATAAAAATACCTGATGGTAAATATGGATCTTTATCTTTTCTTTCTAAAATAGCATTCAAGCGACTTCGATTTCTTTCTTCCATCATATCATCAGCTCTATGAGGTGAACGGGGTAATGGACTTCTTTGACTCCTAGAGTCACCACTTGCTTTCTTAGTTTCATCATCTTCCTTAGGATACAACATAGTTAGTTTTGTACTTTCTGTCAATTTTTGGGCCAAATTAGTTTCTACAGTCTGACACCCTATATCTCGTAAGCGACCAGAAGATTCAGAGGATATCATTTCGTCTTCTGATGATTCTTCTTGTTGCTTTACTTGTCTCATCTCCTTTCTTCTTAAAAATTCTGCCATATCGCCTTTTTTTATCCTTACATCATTTTTCTTACGAGAATTTAAAGAATTTGTTTTACCAACATTTAATGTAGCTTTACCGTTTTTGTTCGAGGGTGAAGACTTGACTTGCGTTACTGGTGTAGCCAATCGTGGAGGATGGCTTTTTAATGTTAATTTAGGCTCTTTAGGTGATTTACCCTGTATTAATTTTAGTTGTTTCATATTTTCTCTAATAAAGTTCTTTTTCTGTTCCTTTTCTGTAATATTAATGTTTAACATATTTTTTTATTGGTGTCTAATTTTATCATTTATAAACAAATTTAAATCTTACAAACAGTCACTTACTTGGCTCAGGAAATATTCCCTTTAAAGTATACATGCTAACTGATAATAATAAACACTAAGTACAGCAAAAATACACTCATCATTTAGCATCCATTTTAAATAAAACAAGCACTTCGTTAGTGAGATTCTTTCATTTTGCACTGTAGATATTTTAAGAAAAATGAATTCCCTAGGTCCTATGATATTCGTTGCGTTTTTGTCACTTGAATTTTTCAAAATTGTGTCAAAGTGACCCATAGACACAATTGTTTCTGGCCGGTTTTTTAAAACCGGTTAAAAAAATATTTGTTGGATAAATCAGATATGTAATAGATATTATTATTAATTATTATTCATGTAAAGTATGCTAAATAAAGCTTAAATGGTTTGGATTATGGTGACGCAGTTATCAGTTATTATTACCTAGGCAATAAGTCGATAATCTGATAAAAAATAATCTAGATTGCCGAAGCGCTCGTTTATTAGAACAACATTGTATGTACCTTAGATTGTTCGCTTTTATCACGTGAATTTCTATACTGTTATATAAAATATATAAAATTTAAAGACGTTCCCGGAATACCTAAATAAAGGCTTCATCCCCTGAAAACTGTAGGTATTTAAGTATGTATGTATATTTGTTACTATATCCTGTATTGGATGAAACCAGGGTGGCTGTTAATGTTATACGAACATGTGTATTGAAGCTTTTATTTTAATATAATCAATCATGTTTCTAGCATAATGTGTATCTACCTACCTACTGAAGGAAATAAAAATCTTAGAAAAAGTTCGTGCTCTTTAAACAAGATTCAAGTTTCTATGTTGTTATGACAATCTCTAAAAATAAACTTCAAAACCTGTAACCTTAAATCTATTCAAATGAATAGTTAATTAAATATAAATCTCTTTTATTTTGTTTTCAAAAATTAAAACATGGCGAGTGTCGGAAATAAATTTTCTCCAAGATATGGTATTTATAAGTTATCAAGAAGAGGTAAAAAATTACAGCTATCTGACGATCAAAGAATGTTGGTGGCTTTGCCCAAAGATGTACCTGAACGCACGTGGTATAGTACTTACTTTATAATATGGCCTAATTTTACCAATGATTATTAAATTATAATGCTTATACATAAAATTGATGTATTACTTACATATAAAATACTAGAAATATAAAGTCCTAGAAATATATCTATACATATAATAAAATTGTAACCAAGCTGTACATTAAATATTTTTTGGAAAATCTTATTGAAATAGACATTATTATCGATACAGAGGCCGAATCTATAGTTTTTAAATTTTTTGTCTGTTTGTCTGTTACCGTATCACGGAAAAACCACTGGAGGGATTTTGATGAAATTTGGTATGATGGTAGCTGGTTATCCACGTCAACATATAGGATACTTTTTACAACAACTAGGAACAACAATAGGGTCAACAAATAGGAATATATATATATATTCCTATTTCGTATATATATTGGTAAGAAATGCACTGGGAGGAGGCCCACCTCGGTGCCTGTTGAAGCGCCCTTGAATTCTCTTTCATGTGATATTTCTTTATATTGTTTTTTAAGTGCTATAAAATTATGTTATAAAAATGTTTTTGTATACATTTTGAAATAAAATATACCTATAGCAATTATTGAAATAGGGCAGAAATTCTTCAAAAAGAGGAAACTGATCTCATGATCTTCGATATCCGTGAGGAGATACTAGAATCAGCAATGGAAATATGCTACGAAAAGTATATGAAAAAGCAGAATGTATTGTTCACAGCGTACTGTGCTTCCGAAGCTTGGCTAAAATTGATTAATTGGTTATTATGTTATGTAGTTTTTATCCATGATTTAGTAGATTAGATATAAAAAAATTATATGTACAAGTTACAAGTAGGAAGTGTCGTATGGCATAACTTGCGCAAAAAAAGGAAAATATTATATTGCTATCGACTTATACACGCTCCAGGACATAGTTTGAGTTACTACTAAATTTCATCTAAATCCAGTACAGCCGTTTTTGTATGAAGGACTAAGAAATATATACAACTAGCGGCTCATCCTCGCTTCGCTCGGGTTCGTCGCTAGGTACGTTTTAAATATATATAAATAATTATTACCCAGCGTTACATATATAAATTTTAATATAACCATAAAGTATTCTTAAATTTTATAATTTTCTGCGCAATTTTTTAATTTTTTTCTTTCATAAGAACTTCCTGACAATAACAAACACAACTAAAAAAATTTAAATCGGTCCAGCCGTTCACGCGTGATGGCGTGACCAAGGGAAATAGGGATTCATTTTTATATATATATATATATATATATATATATATATATATATATATATATATATATATATATATATAGATAATTACACATACACTTTTGCATTTGCAAGCTTTTTTTGTATATGATATCGTTAATAGTCGTTACTTTTCCTAAGGAACTTTTTTCGTCACGATCCCGGAGAAGATCCTAGTGCGTATCCACCATGCCATATTCCCAAACGTAAAGAATCCTGGATACCGGATGAACTCCCAGATCCATCTCCCAAGGACACTTGGTGCAAACAAGAGTTGAATGTCCTGGAAGAATACGAGGAAGAAGTTCTGAAGAAGTGGCCCAGCAGTTCCTCTATCGATTTCCCTGTGATTGATGATATTCCTGAAGAATATTGGTACTTCGAATATAAAATACTAATAAGTTCTTGCAACTTGGTACACAAGCATTAATTTTACTCTGTTTAATAATAATACATATTAATATAATATGTTCATATTTTGGTAAACAATCAGCGCTAAATCACTCATGCTCACATGCAATTTTCTTTTTTTTCTATGGGAGAAATTGGAACAAATCTTTAGTTTTTATATTTCTCTTCGTTGTATGAAAAGTGCATTGATTTTGATTTTTCGTTTCATAATAATTATAAACTTTTCAAGTTAGGTACCTAAATAGAATTAATCAAAATCATGCGAGCCAATACCTTTTCTTAACGTTGCTAGAGAAATCCATCACAACAGTCGCCAACGTGCAGAATGAAAGGCAACAGTGAGATCCTTATTTACTTACTAAAACCCACAGCGGATCCATGGCATACGTTTTACAGCACCCCATGCAAGCTATACCTAAAAGTACACAAACCATTGGTTCCTTTACAATTGTTTCATACATCGATGTCTAAAATTCAACATAATGAACTACAAAATATTTTAAAATGAGACGTGCTCGCTGCTCATGCATATCAAGGCAAGGTGTAATAAGTGTATTTAAATTCTTTATAGGTTTCCTGGCAGAGTTAATATTCCCGTAGAAACGGCGGAGACTTCAGAAGAATCCACGAAAACTATTACTTATGTTAGTTACTACCATTTAATTTATCCATTTAACTGGATCGTTTGCCTTGTACCTAACATGTATGTTATTTTATTTGATTAGGAATCAGAATCTGCAAGTTCAACTGGCAACATTGGCACAGAGAGCGAAGTGTTACAGAAGATCACTACTTACAGCCCTGGAGAGGTATCTGCTAAGGTAGAGATTATTTTTTAACAAAATGCAGATTTTTATATACAAACTTCTGCATGGGCTTAACATTCAATTTATTTAAACTATTTCTGATATATGAACACTAAATGTGATCTATATTTTAATGCTACTATTCGCCCGGGATTCTGTTCTCACATTACAATGAAAAACAATGCATAACTTAAGTACTTTCAAAACGAAACTTCCGTGACCCATACCCTCGATGTATTCAGCCAGTGTATTTTAACGTCCCACTGCTGGTCTATGTTCTCTTCAATAGGAAGGTGATCAGGCCATATTTCACCAATCTGAATTAGCGAATTTCACATGTCTTTTATCTATTTGTGGAAGAGACAGATTTGTTTAATAAATATATATTTCAACCCTTTTAAACATATTTAAGGAATCTTCATTGAGCGCTTTAAAGACCACTACACCAATACACGGATCATTGGAAGGCGCCGGAGATTCTACTGTGGACAAGCTACGCCCTAAGAGAAGATTTACAGTGAAAAGCAAGCATTTTAGTAAAGCTAGGTATGTGATAGCATTCTGCAACTTATTTGTAGCCTACGAGTATGTCTCTTTGCTTTTAATTATCTTGTTATTTGCTAAGCTTAGCTTTCATAATGTTTAACTTTTTGGTAAAAGAATTTTCAAAAGCCCAATAAAGTGTTAAGCTTTAGCTAATGTGATTTTTCATATAAGTGAATTGTAATATTCTTTTGAGAAATAAATAATCTTAAACCTGTAAGCCAATGAATAGATTTGCAATTATAATTTTATATTTTAGTCAGCCAAATATACCTATAGCTGTACCGACTGAGGAAACTAAATATTGATATACATTTATACATTAACGTTTAGTATAGATTTCTCAGAGATTAGATAGGCTCCCGCAGTTAAAACTATCCTATATGTTGACCCGAATAACCAGCTATAATCGTATCAAATTTCATCAAAATCCATCGACTGTTTTTTCTGTGATGCGGTAACAGACAGACAGACAACAATTCTAAAAACTATAGATTCGACAACTGTATCGATAATAATGTCTATTTCAATAAGGTTTTCCAAAAAATATTTAATGTACAGATCCAGCTTAGTTACAATTTTATTATATGTATATATATGGTATGGTAATATAATTACGGTATTCTTTAGGTCTTTAAATTTAGAAAATGTACATATTTTATATTTTTTTAATTAGTGTTCTGGGAAGATCGAAGGCTACGCTTCCACCACTGGATGGCGACTCTAGATCTCGCATCAGCATCATATCGGACTGTCGGCTGAGGAACTTAAGGTAATTTAGCTAAAGTAATAATATATAACTCGCATATAAATAATAAATAGCCTGCGTGCGGTTATTGCATTACTATTTAGTACTAAGTAAAAGACTAATTTTATAAAGGAGTGCATAGAGTTGAAATCATAAGTTATATTTGATGAGAATTTATTTATTCATGAAAAATTTATTCCGTTTTCTAATCTTTGTGAATCCCAAGAAATAAACTAACTTCAGTCGCTTCCAACTTTCTCAACACTGAAATTAAAAAAAAAACTTATTTAACCATAACGATTTGGATTCTAGGTATTATATACTTTTATTACAATATGTAATATGTATTCAAAAAAAAAGTTATTCTACAATCAATTACGTATGCTTATGTATATCTAGTACTATGTATGTTTTAATTCCCAATTGCCAGACATTCACAGCACTAATTTACATGATCACATAGCCATTAGAGTTCAAGATATAAAGGGCCAAATCAATATACAAATATATTAAACCCAAAGATTATTGTTTTACTATGAATATCTCTTATTCCTTTACCTTTTATATATTTAACCCCTGTGTTCAGCATACAAATATACATACATATTACATGCCAATAGACAACAAAAGCTCTCACAAAGCACTAATCTACCCCTTCTAACCCAAAATTGAAACATTACAATACGATTAAATTCAATGAAATATCAAACAATGTTCGAATGAAACCTCGTGGGAATCAAAGATGGTGCGCACGTGCATAAGAAAGGTAAAACTTGTTAAACGGAGCGTTGACCCGCCATGAAAAGGCAATAGGGGAAGAAAAAACTCGTATTTTATCAATACAGAATTATGCATTTAATGTGGACACTTGTGAAATTTGTTCAGGGTTGCCTCTTTTGTGTTTTTGTGGTAATAATTGATTTTGGGGCTACTGCACTGTGTCTTTGTAAATTAATGGTTTTTTATTTATCTTTATTTAAGAGGGTTAGGTATTCAGGTTTGTGATGAAGACAAACTGACAGTTTTATACTGAGTAAGTCATTGTTGGCGGATTAGCTTTTAGCCGAGTAAAAAGTGTTTTCCGGCATAAGAAATATATTATGTGATAGTACAGTATATGATCTAGAGGAGTGCCAAGTTTTATCAAAATTTGTTTTACGGTTTACGTATACAGACAAATACACACATATTTTGTATACCTATGTGGGATTAATTTATAGGAAAACATTTTGTTAACTAAAAGCATATTTTTTTAATATAACTAATACACTTAAATAAAATACAATATTGTTACTATATTACTAAATTATTATTTTTTATATTACATTGTAACTGGCAGCCCTGGCTAGGTTGAATACCCCAGGTGTACGAAGTTCAGCGACCGCAGCTAGTCCATTCTGAAAATCCTATATGTAAAATAGTTTAATCCCACTTTGCCATGTTAATATGCCATAAATGCTCGTTTAATGTTATATAAGCATGACGTCATTGATGTTTGTACAATTTTGGACATTTTGAAAAGATGAAAATTCAAATTGTATGCACACATAAATATATGTATGTGCATAAATATTTAACAAGGCACAGGCAGTGATAGCCTAGTGGTAAAACGCTCGCTTTGGAATCCGAGTGAAGCAGGTTCTAATTCAGGGTCTCGCACCTTTGATATTTTTACGTGCGAATCATTTCCAACATGATTACCGCTTGTCTCACGGTTAAGGAAAACATCGTGAGGTAACCTCCATGTCTGAGAGCTAATAAGTTTTCTAAAGACATGTGAAATCCGCCAGCCCATATTTTTTAATTAACTCCCAAACTATCGCATACATAATACATACTTATAAGTATTATTTTTATTACGTTCAGCCTTTTCAATTAAAATATATTTATCTAAGTATCTACTGACCCACTTTTGCACAAAACATCTATTACATTTTGGGTCGTAATATAAAATAAAACCTCTTTCTTCTAACATAATCTAATAAACAATAAAACAACAAAGGTTTGTACAGCTGATGTAACCCGCAACGCCGCGCCGGTCCTTTGTACCGCTAAAAGCCTTTGTATGTGATGAATAGCGCGAATTAAGACATACTCTAATGTAGCTCTCGTTATTGATATTGTTAAGGAAAAATATTGCGATATAATGGGATTGTGTTGTTGAAAGCTAATACGATGGGATAATATAATTACCTCTATGCTATGGCTGTTTGTCTATGACGTCTTTGTTTGTAGTGTTGTAAGTGTAAGGTTTATTTATGATTACAATCGAGCCAGATATATACTTTTAATGGCGGAACTCAGTTAAAGTAGATTTTACCTAAATAAATATATAATAATATAAAAAACCCGACTGCATAAAAGCTGACTAAAAAGATAAAAACAAGTTCACGAAGGAATATAGTATTATGCAGTCGGAGACGTTTCATCCTTGTCGCGAGATGTACATACTCGTATGTATGTCTTTAAATCATTATATAACCTAAACTGTTATTTCAAATGAATAATACAGGGATGTTATATCTTTTTGGAATCATTGTTATGAGCCCTTTAATTTGATGCCCATATTGATGATAAAGAGGATTAAAAAAAAATCACCTTAAACAATGAAATCTAGCAGACCCCATATTTATTTTTTATGTCACCTATCTAAGAACAATTGGACTAATGATATGAATCTAACGATACCTTAATTAAAGAAATCCATCAAGTGGTTTGGAAGATATGAGGGAATAAAGAATATTACAAACAAACATACAAAGATAGGCTCGAAAAACATAACCTTTTCTTCTTCTTCTTGGGACTTCTCATCTTGGGCATAAATATTTGGATACTCCAACCTAATAATAATAAGGATGTTCTGTTTTCGTACGGTTATTTTTAACTGTAATGAGTTCTAAATAAAACTATCTTTTCAGATTTTTTTGCGGATAGAGACCTGTGTCTCTCCGGACCATGATTGCTGTAAATTACTCGAAACTTCGGGAATCAAAAATCAAAACAAATGCGCGAATTAATCCGAAAAAACAGTCTTATTTAAAATGTCAAATATTCGCGTTAATATAAAAGAGTAGTAGGTATTTAGTTCTTTGAAAGGTTTTCGATGTACGATAGAAACCATCACTGACCATTACAGTGTCATCAAAGTGCTCGAGAGCATGCAATTGAAGTAGGGGTAGGCGACCATTAAATTATAACCCTGTTCAATGCCCGTCCAATCTGTTCGCTTCACAGACTACAAATGCGTTCTAATCAAAGAGGAAACTATGAAAATGGGACAAATAGACCCCATTCACACTGCCCTAATTCCTGATATCTAACCAGAACATTTTCCGACTTTAAAATCCTTATATATTCAGTTTTAAGGTTCAAAATAGAATTTTATAATGATAAATGAATTTTAGTTTAGCAAATGCGTAGGAAATGTAACCCTAGAGAAGTTGAGATGTTAGTCTAAAGTTGTATATGATCGAGTTTGTTTGTAAAGTTCATATATTTCGAAGTCGGCATTGCGTGCGGAATACTGAATGAAAACAGTAATATTAGTGGGAGTTAAGTTTAAATTTAATTTATACGTAACGCTGAAACTGAATTATGTGGGGTTGGAATGAATAAAGACCGATAAAGGGTTGAGTGAGATTGAAATACGTTGAATTCTATTGATCACATCAGTGGAGATGCTTAAAAACTTGTATTAATTAAATTTGGTTTATATTTTACGGTGTAGGAAATATTGTGAAGACAAAAATACTTGTAAAGGTGTATCGAAAAAAATATATATTTTGATACGATTTCTTTGTTGATTAATTTTAACTCAACATATTTATATTTACTTTTAGTTTTGCTTGAGATAGCTTTCACCAGCTCGATTATGTCCTAAAATTTATTTTATTTAAGTAATGAATTTTTAGGGTATTTATTCATTTATTCTACTTCGTGTAACTTTTGGAAAATCAAAAAAGCCCTTCTCAGTGAGCTTTTACAGTACCCAAAGAATAATGCAAGCAGAATTCTAATTTAGTCAGTTTAAGATTTAATATTACATATTATATTATGTATACATTATTAAATAGTGATCGTGTTCTTGATCTATCAAAATTAAATTATTTCTATGCAAAATTAAGAAAATCGAAATATATTAAAAAGCATTTTCGCATTTATAATATTAGAATGCACTACCAGATATAATTAATATAACTTAATGTTACTAAACATATAACTCGCTATTTTATTACACAAATTGCTTGCATTACAACTATTAGAATTTAGTGTTATGTTTTCCTTTGACGTAAGAAATGTTGATGTGATTCCAGAGATTTCTCAGTCAATGCCACTGGGTGATTGCCCTCTCACCCCAAAGACTCGAGTTCGATTCTCGCCCTGACCTGTATAATTTCACGGTCATTATACGACTATCAGTAAATGTTACTCAGAAACACAGAATTTGTATGTACGCTCGGGTAGTGACTGTTACATTAAAATTAAGTGGTATCTCATAAATTCCTCAAAACCCAGACTAATTCTGTTAAAGTTGTGTTTTGGTTATGTGGAGATTGAACAAGAATTTGTTATTAGTAATATAATGTCTTACATCAGCTGTTGGTCTGTCTGTCGTTTATGACTATGATTTACTTATAACATAGTAATTCATATTATGGTCAGTAAAAAGGTACATATTAGATATAAAGTGATGTCAAACTAAATGGATGAAGTACAGCTACGTACAAATAAAGTAGTTGTATTTTTTTAAATAACGAAAAACAAATTCTTGGAATTATTTTTTATGTTAGTATATGAAATACTAATATTATAAATGTGAAAGTGTCTTAGTTTGTTTGTTTGTCCTTCTTTCACGTCGAAACGGAGTGACGGATTGGCGTGATTTTTCCGTGAGATAGTTGGAGATAAATAAATAAAAAAATATATAATAATTTGTTTTTGAGGAAATCTTGAAAAAAATATAAAATATACTTTTATACAATATTTGCCTGTCCATCTCTCTGTCTGTTCGTATGCCACACCGAATTGAACGGAGACGTCTCTAAATTCCTATAAATTCCCAAATTATACAATCACTTGTCCATTTTTTACATATAAGTAGGTATAAGTCGTCCTGACCGATTCCGGCCACGGCGGCCAATCTCATTGAGACTAGCCAACTGCGCAGGAGATATTATAGTGCAGTGCGTGTACGCGCAGACACAACGTGCACTCTCTATTCCTGTCACTCTTATACTCCGGTGGGACGACTGTTCGACACGACCAGTGAGACTTAAGGCGCAGGACCGAAGGCTTTACGTGCTCTCCGAAGCACGGGGGCGAAACACCAGCAACTTCCCAACTTCGTGCTGTTATTGAGGCTTACTATACAGAAAGACTCAATAACTAATCTTGGCCCAACTCTGGACTCGAACCCAGGACACCACACCACCGAGGCATTTCGTTTTTTATTATAGTAGTCTACAACAAGAAAATGTTCTAGTAGCGTCCGAACACAGCTCCAATTTTTTATAAAACAGTATTACATATAATTTATACGCGTGTTTATTCGATACCATAGAAACATGGTGGCAATGTGATACAGTGAAGTGTCCAAATGAGCTGATTTTCAATTTTATATACATAATACATACATGTGTTGTTCATCTACAAGTCACCTTCGAATTTGCCGGTCACCCACCGCGAGAGTGAGGAACTTTCATAATAGGCCACTTGAAGTATATTTTAATACTAATATAATGTGCCTTTCCGCTGTATTGCTTCATTTTTTTTCCCTTTTATGTTCAAATTATCTATCAAGGGACTTCCATTTTTCGGCCGACTTCTAAATAGTATCTCGTTTGTTTTTTGTGTGTATATAACAAGTTGCTTTATCTATTCGATTATAAACCAATTTACGTGGTTCTTTTAATGCTTAGGTGGTATATCTGTTTTACTAACTAAAAAGGTATACGGAGTTCGAGATGACTTTAAAAGCAATTATTTAAAGCTTGAAGTAATCATTACTAACTGTTCATTAAAATATTCGTCAAAGCTCTATTATTTAGCTGTTACATGAATCACATTGTAAAGAAACAGTATTTTTTAGTTTTCCTATTTGGGAAGAAAAAAATTTAAACGTTATTTGCTGTTGAAAACTTTTCCATGAAACAATGAGCCTGCTAATTTGTGTTTATATTTGTATTTATTCAACTTCTTACTAACTATGCTTTGTTAAGAATCATGATTACATAAAATTTTGTAAAGTTTTTAATTAAGAGAAATCTTAGCAGCTAAGAATTTCCACAGAAACAAGCCCTATTAAGTTTTCCAAGCAACTTTTTTCGCCCTTATGTTTTATATTTTGGTTTAAAATATTTTTACCACCCTCTTTATTGCTAACGTACAAACTCTTTGCAGATAATACTAGCAGAACGCGCGGCTTCGCCCGCGTTCAATCTACAAAGAAAGCTCTTTGGCTGTATGTTATACAGTGACTCACCCTCGCTTCGCTTGGGTTCTTCGGTATATATTTATAGAGTTTTACAATATGGCCAATCTGTTGACATTTAGGATTATTGCTCAGCTCCCTTAGATAGTAGCATGATGATATGCCTATAACCTTCCTCAATAAACGGGCTAGCTAATGTAAAAAGATTTTTTTCAAATCGGACTAGTATGACCTGAGATTTGCGCGTTCATACAAACAAACAAACTCTGCCTTTTTATAATATTAATATATTAATAATAGATACTGCTGTTTGAAGATGTATTTATGTTTTAATTAAATTAAATACGAAAAAGCTAAGTAATTAAGTGTAAAAACGCATGAGTAATAAATCTCGTAGTCTGAAAAGTCCATAAAGTGGTACAATCCTATAGAAAGCAGGTATAAAACAGGACCGATATTATTTCGTATTATTTGAGATTTTATTTAAAGAAATTTACTAAGAATTTGTCTGAAAAACTAAATTAATCCGTTCTGGGACTCAAAATAGGACTTCGCAATCTTCAACCATAAAGTTTATCTTTCAGATCAGCGTTGCTAAAACTTGCTCACATAATTACGAGTCTTTGTAATTTCAGTTTTTATTGGAACTTCTGAATTCTCTTTTGTTTTTTTCACTAACCAAGCCAAATTAGATAATAAGAAAGTTGGCCGTCACGGGTGCCCGGCAGATGTGAAACATCTATGTTGAATTTAGAATTCATAATTAATAAAAACCTATAACGAAATATGGAGTAAAATAAAGCAGAAATAGGGTTTCGTTAATAAAACCAATTTTTTTATTTATTATTGTAATTGCAACATAATTATAGAATACCGATATTCATAAATAAAATAGAAAATATCTTAGTATTTCTAATAGAGACTTTTACAATGGAGCATATTTATTGTATAGTATATGCGCGCGCACAACAATGGAGTCTAGAGTGGTGGAATAATAGGGATATGATGGCATGACTGCGTCGTGCTGTTTGCCGTCACGCCATACGAGTCGGTTTTAATGTCAAGGCGCGCCAATAGATGTTTCACATCAAAAATTCTTAAATCTTTATTTACTTTAGAACTTATTAGATTTAAAAAAAAACACTTTGAGCAAACCTGCACTAACAAACGAAGTAGTCAGAAATAGTATACAATAGACATATTAGTTATAATTCTAGAATGATGAATTCTAGCGCGTAATGCCCATCTGCAATTCCGAACATTCCAAGGCTCTATCATAGTGTCGATGAACGATAAACGTATTAAAGCATTCAATACTTCTCGCATATTTGACTACATACATTCAAATTGTTTCTCAAACAGATATTGTTGTCCTTGTTTGTGAACCAAAATGATATATGGCTTGGTAATATATTAGACACTTCTTTGGCTTCGATTTCTCATGATATATATTTAGACTAGTAGAACCTGCGGCTTCGCTCGCGCTAAAACTACAAAAAAGTCTCTAAAAAGATAGGTACCTAGGTTTTTTACAAAATTTCATTTCAAAATAGGGGTATTTTATTCCCTTATAGGAGGAATTTCGAAAAATGTTAAAACACGTATTTATTTATTTGTGTTCAAGAGCATTAATGCGAAGTTTCAAGAAATTCTGATCAGAAATAAATTTTTGGATTGTATTATAACGTGTTTTCTCGTGGCAATGAGATGATCTCCCGCAATAAAAAGTTGTCTATGTCACTCTCCAGCTCTCCAACTATCTTCACACTAAAAATCACGCCGATCCATCACTTCTTTCGACGTGAAAGAAAGACAAACAAACACACAATCAAACACACTTTCACATTTATAATATTAGTATGGATATATGTATATTTGAATTAATTAATAATTATTATTAAGAAATAGCGACTCACCCTCGCTTTGTTCGGTTACATTTCTAGGTTTTAACGATTAGTATGGTATAGATACACTATACATATATGTTATTACATATACATAGGTACAAAATAAAAAAATCTGAACTTTTCGATTTTCCAACTGTTTTTTTAGGTTTTCCTTATTTTTTATACTTAAACCAGCCCTGGCACACCCTCATCAAAACAAAAAAAGTATTATAAAAATGTTATAACTAACGAACGGCAATAGATTTTTATATATATTATTTTTTACATAGATTAATTATTTTGACTTCTTTAGTAAATTTCCATTTTATTAAAATTTTACAACGATGGATATAGTTGTTCAAAAGGACTTCAAGTCTTGTTGAGCTCTGGATGATCGATGTCTGGATGATGGATATATTCCCTTTTTAAGGACCCACTTCGTCAATGTGAGGAGATCAGGCTGTAGTCCACAAATATCGTTATATAACGTCAAATTGACTAAGTTGTCAAAGCTTTTTGCACCATAGATATTTTACATTCTAATTAATTTACTGTTATTTATGTACTAGCGACTAAATTTCTCAGAGATGAGATATTTCCCCGCAGCAAAAAGCATCCTATATGTTGACTCGGATAACCAGCTATCATCATATCAAATTTCATCAAAATTTGTCCAGTGATTTTCTCGTGATGCGTTAGTTAAGTGTTAGACAAAGAAACACACAACAATTCTAAATACTATAGATTCGGCCTCTGTATCGATAATAATGACTATTTCAATAAGAATTTTCAAAAAATATTTAATGTACAGATTCGACTCGGTTAGAATTTTATTATATGTACAGATGAAATATCAATATCTTGTATTAATTTTTTGGACAAATAGAAAAATAATGTGAATATATCTCGTAAATCTCTTACATCGAAGCAAAATGTTATCCCAACTATTATAATAAAACTAACATTTGCATGTTAAATACGAGTACAAATATTCACATCATGAAACGCATTGCTGTTTCTATACTAATCTATACTAATATTATAAATAGGAAAGATTTTTTTGTTTGTTTGTACTGAATAAGCTCCGAAATTACAATACCGATTTAGATGAAATTTGGTAATAAGATAGTTTGAGACCCTGGAAAGGATATAGGATAGTTTTTATCCCGGAAATCATCCCTTAAGAGGATAAAAATGGAGATGATAGTTCGTATGCGGAATCACCTAGATAAGAACTCGGGTAAAGCGAGAGTGAGTCGCTAGTAATCAAATATATAGAATTCAGTTATATTGTAACAAAGCTTATTTTCAGGTTGGACACCCAATATGAGATAACGTCTGAGAAGATCCAAACGCCTCCAGGCGAAATGGTAAAACGAAAATGAATGATTTACTTTGGCGATATTTTGTTATTATCTGTGGTAATATATTTTTTCCTTTCTTATATAAAGAATCCAAAGATTAGATGCTTTAATGACATTTAAATTTAATAATTTTATATCTAAATTATGACATTATGTTTGTATGTATGTGTAATTATTATGATATTTGTTCAAACGACCAATATTTGATGAGCATTACAATAGAGACTTTTTTCCCCTATTTTAAAAACAAAGCATTATTTCTAAGATTTGTATACATATATAGATAAAATACATATTTTTGGCGTTTTTAAAGTAAATTGTTTTATTTTATGCCAATAGAATTAACATTTTAAAATTAATACTTCTGTATTAAAAACTCTTTCGGTAAATTGGTCGTTTGCACATATAAGCACTGAGAGGAATATTTGAAGCGTAAACATTAAAATGGAGTTCAAAAAATAAAGTTACTCCGATCTATCTAAGTAAATAAATAAATAAATTTTAAATATTGTGTAATAAAATATTATTTATTACTATAAAATATATATGTAAAAGACATAAAACGTTGTTTTTTTAAACAAAGGAATGAAAAGAAATGAAAAAGCTTTTATACCTATTTTACTAAAAATGTATTATTAGATTATTACGCTGAATGATTTTTCTTACTTTAACAAAACGCAAAAAATTAAGTATTTTGTAACTTAACTAAATGAAACTTAATTAACAGGTAAGTAAGAGAAGAACAAATGGCAAAAAATACAAAAGAATTGAGTACCTATTATTTATATTATTCATATTTTATTCTCAAAAATTGTATATCAATCACTAATACCGATATAAAATTTCCCTTTTTCCTTAAAATGTAGCGCAAAATCGAGATTGGTAGCATAAACAGCAAATCACGCTACTATTTTTGACTTTGACATATATTTTATTAACAGGCTTCGTCCGTATAATTCTTTAGTTTTCTCCATTCTACGCGACATTGGCGAAGTATTTTGTGCCCAATTGGCACTCCTGGAAGCCACTAAACAAAAGAATAGAATAATTTTTTAGTATGTTTTTACTTTTAGAATTGAAGTAGGACGGACTTCTTCCCAAGCCTATCTTCAAAATGAAACGCACAAACCTAACCTTTTTATAGTCTACTAGCAACTCACCCTTGCTCCGCTTGGGTTCGTCGCAGTCGTCAGGCAGACAGACAGACAAAAATTCTAATAGTATAGATTCGGCCTCTGTATCGATAATAATGACTATTTCAATAAGATTTTCCACAAAAAATATTTAATGTACAGATTCTACTCTATTTCTGAGCCATTATATATTTTTATAAATCTGCCACGTCTTGTTTAGTGATATATTTTTTTTTCATAAAATTCCTCGAGTGGAGCTTCGCCTTATAACACTTTATCCTTCATTTATAAATAATCATGCAAATGGTATTATTTTCCTCAACTTTATAAGGTTTTCCCATGTGTTCCTGACAAGTTATAATCGTAGGTCGTAGTATCTAAAAATATTACAATAAAGGATATCTATCAATCAGGAGGTGCAGCTTCGAGTCCTGTGTGGACGCTTGTATTGATTTCGTAAATGGTTGTTTCGATGAAGTTGGTAAAAAGTGCATTAAGATCTGCTACTATCATAAATATGTATTTTTTATCTATAATAGTCTTAATATAGATAAAAAATAAAAAGTGAAACGAATGACTTATATAGTCAATGACTATAAGAATACCAATCTCCTTCGTGTCTTCTCCATTCTACGTGACATCAGCGAAGTAATCTGTGCTCAACTGGCACGCTTTGAAGACATTTACAAAAAAATTTAATTGAATAATAAGCACCCCTTAGAACAAAAACTATATGTAACTGCTATTGTAAATGCGAAAGTTATTTGTGTATGTGTGTAACTAGACTATGACCTGAAGAAATATATGCTACTCTTATGCCCGATTTCACCAACGTCACCTAAGTTTAAGAAATCCCCTAAGCATGGTTAGGGGGCTGTTAGGGGACAGTTTCTGTTTCACCGACAGTTAGGGGTCACCTAAATATTAGAAGGCCCCCTAAATTTAGATGCTCAAAATATGGGCTGAAAGACGATCGTCAAACGAAGTTTAATTTAGGGGTTAGTTTAGGGGACTTTTAAGCTAGGGATCCCATACGTAGGTGGTAGCTTATGGGTTGTTGGTGAAATCGGGCATTAGGGTATTATAAATACAAAAGGCATTTAGCCATGCACTCGAGCGCAACAAGGGTATATTACTAGTATGTAGTAAAAAAATATTATACGAACGCAATAAAAAACCATTAAGGCTATCTAAAACATCTACGGCTATTAATTTAATTAAACGGGTAAGATAATGCATACTATAGTGAAAATTCAGCTTGCTTTTTTTTTCTGACGTTGGTTTAACATAAGAGCAAGAATTTCATTAAAGCTAACCCTCTTTTTTAATCTTGGATATTGCACATATTTACCTTTAAATTTCTTCGTTGGAAAGGCTCTATCCAATCACCGGTCATATAACATAAGTACCCATTATTGTTGTATATATACTTGTTGTTGTTTTTGTAAAATACTGTGTAGGCACTGTTTGTGGCCATGATTGCTGTAAAGCATTCGAAACTTCGGGAACCAAAAATTAAAATAAATCGGCGGAATAATCGGAAAAGATAGTTTTGTTCAAAATGTCAAATATTCGCGTAAATGTAAGAAATTATTACTCATTATTATTCAAAATGAATTACTTTCACTGACGTAAACATATTAGAAGGAAAAATTTCGTTCTAAAAATAATCTATCACAAATAGTCCTTGGACCTTTATTTATTCTCGACCAATTCAATTCGTCCAGTGCGGATAAATAAAACTATCCCCGTGCAGGGTAATGAATAAAAACAACGTCCTTTTTCACCGATCAAAGGTTTTTATGCCACAAAGGTAAAGCATTGTGAAGCTTCTATCAAAGGCAAATTGAACTCCTCAATCTTAGTAAGAGCGTATCGTTGTAAGATTATTTCGATCTGTTTTTACATTTTTTTGTATGTTTTGCTGTGGGTAGTTTGCGAAGATACCGAGGAAATGTTAATCTATCCGAACGTTTTGAAGCCATTGTGCCTCATACTTTGGTCTAAGCCCAACTTTTGAGTTATTGTATCAAATCGTAGCACTTTGTTCATAAAAATATTACTATATGTTATATCCTATACACAGGGCGTCGCATGCGTGTTTTTCTGTCAAGTAGATCCAATAACATTCGCTGTACATATATGTTAATGCTCGTGGATCAGGGAGTTTATATTTGAGTGATTCAAATAAAATCTAAGTTATATTTTGATTTATTTTCTTATTCCCATTGGAATATTTTGTCAAGCCACCTTTGTACCGCATTCACTAGGCATACAATACAAAGAAAAAAAAGAAAAGATTTTTTGCTTCTGTAGAATACCAAATAGCTTCAAACACATTTACTTTCAATAGTATTCAATGTATAAATTAGGAATATTTATTTATACCTTATTAGAAAAGTGAAAGTTTGTAAATGTGTATGTATGTATGTTACTCTACTCATGCTTACGTTAAATTGGCTGGACCGATTGGAGTGAAATTTAGTGCACAGACTGTGACCTGGAGTAACATATATGCTACTATACTAACATATAAGGTATCTAAAGACGAAGAGTGGAGTAAGGGTAAGCTTTTTATAATCAACTAGCGACTTACCCTAGCTTCGGTCGGATGCGTCCCTGGGTACGTTTTAAATAGATATAAATAGTTATTAGCCAACGTTAGCCATGTAACTTTTTTTGTTCTAATAGTTATTCTGCTATTTGGGTTGGAGACAAATCTAATAAATCAAAAATCATCAAAATTAGCCCAGCCGTTCTTGAGTTATAAATAGTGTAACTAACCCGACTTTCTTTTATATACATACTAGCAGAACCCGCGGCTTCGCTCGCGCTAAAACTTAAAAAAACTCTAAAAAGGTAGTTTCAAACAAATTTTCATCCCCTATTTTACCACCTTACAGTATGAATTTAGAAAAATGCTAAAACACGTATTTATTTAATTTTATTGAATAGCATTAATACCAAGTTTCAAGTAATTTTGATTATAAATATTTTTTTGGATTGTACTATAACGTGTTTACCGAGGAAATTAGATAATCTCCCGCGGGTAAAAGTAGCCTATGTCACTCTCCAGCCCTCCGACTATCTCCAAACAAAAAATGACGCCAATCCGTCTCTCTGTTTCAACATGAAAGAAGGACAAACAAATAAACAAACACACTTTCACATTTATAATATTAAGTATGGATGTATAAGTGGTATAACTTTCCATATATAACCTCCTTTCCTTAGAAGTCGGTTAATATAATACATCGTACATGGTTGAGGAACTGATAGCTGATACCTGTTTATCGCGACGCATCACGTTCAGTGTTGATGGCGCTCCGTGACGTATCCAACTTTGTGAGTCGTAGGGTGACCATAAGAGAATATTACCTTTCATATTATTTAATCAGAAAATCCATAATATTTTCTCAGATTGGCTCGAATATTTGAAATTTTAAATGAAACTATTTTTTGGAATGTTTTCTCGGTTTTATTTAGATTTTTTGTTCCCGACGCGACGTTTTGAATGGTCACGGGAGATTCACATATTAATCTATTAATTAAATATTGTATTGTAAATTTTATAAAAATATTGTATTTGAAGCGAACATTGTGTCGTGACTTTATTCTTTACTTTCTTATATAAACACAAAAAAATGATTGATAACAAAAAGAAATTATTTTCTTCCAATTAGCTTTAATAAAAAAGAGGTTTTAAAATAAAACTTTTTTTATTAAATATATATTGTATACTCTGTCTTCATAAATACAAAAACAGTGGTTATTCTACTGTGTTTCATACCCAAAAATTCGCTCCCAATGCTTGAACCTACGCTATGTAGAGTCATTTTTATCAGACGTGTGAAAATAGCGCGGAGCTGCCTTACAGTTTTATTT